TATCTATCTATCTATCTATCTATCTATCTATCTATCTATCTATCTATGAAAAATCTAATAAGGTTTGCACAGAAAGTAACCCCAAAAATATTTGTCGAAATAAGAGAGCTGTATGAGCGACAATAAAGTCTTGTGTAACTCACAGAGAGCTCCATTCAGCAGATTACCATGGAATAGCTCTAATAAAACACTATAATAAGCTAAGTTAGTTTATTCAAGCAGCAGGCTGAAAAGAAAGAAGCTGGAAATTAGTACTTCGTTATCAAGCACCAGTTAAATTATACATCTTGAAAAATCTTGCAGCAATGTATTTTATGTCAACGACTAAAATATGAGCAGTCCATCATCAATGAATTTTGCTTTTGAGCAAACATCCTCACCAAGCAGTATGACTAGTTCCCATGGAAACTCTTATTGAGGCCAAGTTAGTAAATTTAGCAGCTTCCATGTCATCTAAGCAATGCACTCCCCAGCATGTTCTACATGTGCTCAGAAGAAGGGAGAAGAGCACTCTGACATTGGTGTCACAGACTGTATTCTGAGAGAACTGTAAAAAAAAAAATCCCAAAACAAAACCGAAATGTACTAATCTCTCACGTTCAGTCTCATGTCGATCTTCTCTAAAAGGAGTGTAAAATGCCTGCTCTGTCACGTACAGCTTGCGATGGTCTATTTCATCATAATTTGTGCAGCTCTGGTGGGAGACTCGTGAGAAAAAAGGGCCATTTAGCACAAGATTATTAGTCTGGGGACATTTCTGTAATCATTATGATTTCTTCCTTTTGTCCGTTGAAAGTGCAGGTGAGTTAGAATTATGTAATTGCAGAAATAACTGCACAGTCATGTGTTGTGTGTTTATATGTGTGTGAGGGTAATGCCATATCTTTCTGAGGATTGTGTTTTACATTCTTTTTATCATTCATTGCATTTTTCTAGTGCCACAGAGGAATGGAACATTAACATTGAAATCAGACCCAGATTAGCAAATATAGGTGTTTTAAAATATACATATCTGATGGTATAAGGTGTACTAAATTTTATGAATGGAATAATTTCTATTCTTTCAGAGCGCTGACATCAGAACCAGTGAGACTACGACTAACATCAAGTTAGTTTAGCTTTGCAGAAATTCTGAAAAGAAGAGAAACTTTAGCATGAATCTGTTGAAAGGCAAAAAATCCATATCAAATAAAGTAGAGAGACCTTCTTTCACACAGAGACGTGTTCATATCTAACATGTCAAAACTGAATCAAATAATTTTCAGTCACCAATAGTCTGTCTAAACTCGCCTGTGTTTGGGCATGGGCAGAATTATTCATTTTCACTCTGTGTTGTGGACCAAACTGCAGAATCAGCCTCTGAAATAAAATCTTATTCTGTATGTGCCCCACAAACCAAAATGCTAAAAACATTTGTCCACTGCACTGGTGACTTGTCCAGGTTATACCCCAGAGATCTCAGGTCAGTGTCGACAACTGTTACGAACTTATGATCTTATGGACAAAATTAAACTGTGACCTTTGATTAGAACACTTATATTTGATAAAAATTAAATTCAAATTCTATTATAAGTAAGACTTTCTAATCACTGTATAAAAATGTTGGCAAAAGAGCAATACCAGTAAAGTTCTATCTTAGGTTAAGTTGTTTTTTTACTATCCTTGTAACATTACATGTTCTCCCAGGTTATTTTGATGTCTTCCCAAAACATGCAAGTGGTTCTAAATGTATGCTGGCAGAGCGGGTTCAGAGTTGTTTGTCTCTTCTTTGGCCCTGTGATGTTCCCTACTTTTCACTCAGTGGCATCTGGGATAGGCTCCAGCACCCCTGTGAACTGGATTAAGTGGGTACAGAAAATGGATGAATGGATAAAGATAAGAAGGCTGGATAATTCAACTCTGACTTTGGAGTGTGACGAGGAAATCCTCAGCATGGCGAAACAACTCACTGAATGGATTTTCTATTTAAGTATTTGAGTCTGTGGTGATTTCTTACTTTGTGGGACTTCACATTTTGTAACTATAAATGTTTCAGCAACTTTTGAGCTTTTAATGATTTCTTTAAAAAAGGGGGGGGCAACCAAATAATCGCCCTTAGGGATAAACAAGTATTCTTTTGTTTCAAACACTCACAAATATGCTGTCAAGCACAGAAACATCATGTTTTCATGATGTGCCCTTTAAATCTTATGTGATGACAGCTGTTGGATGAATAGGAAGAAGGTGGTCCTCCATCTTTCCTGGGTCCCTGGTAATTGCGCCTAGGCAGGAAATAATACAGCTCTTAACCCTCATAAAATAATTAACTATTGTTTCGCTGGTGTAACATTTAAGGCAGAAGATTAATGCAACAATTAGAAATGTGCTGGCAGAGTGCTTTTATGCCGAGCTAACAGTCTCTTGGCTCCGGCTTCACATTGAACCAACGGTTATTAGAGTGGTACCAATCTCCTCTAACTATCCCCCCAGAGAGCCAAGCGGGGCATTTCTAAAAGCGTTGAGCTATAGCTTAGGAGAGATTTACAAGCCATAAAAGAATATCTGTAATTTTCGCGGCGAGAGCAGACGTGCATATTGGAGTACACGTGAGTTTGTTCCGTCACCTTGGCAGCCAGGCATCGCACGGCCTCCTTCCTCTGCGCTGTCGCATCGCCTGCTCCTGCAGCTGAGCTCTGGCTGACCTGGGAATCAGCTGGCTGTTTAGAGGCCGCTTTCCCCGCCCTGTCGCCACCTGAGCAGAGCACAAAGCGGCGGCAAAAAAAAAAAAATTATTCAGAGCTGCAGCACGATCTGCGGCGTAAGCGGAGACGTGTCAGAAATTAAGTGGGTACAGAGACACAGTTTAAAGGGCTGCAAATAATGAGGGAAGCTGTAATGCAGGAGACAATGGCATTGAGCCAAAAACGAACCCAAAACAAAGGGGCTGTTTCAGAAGCTGCAGCATGACAGGCACCAGACTGCTTTCCTGACATTTCGTGCCCCTGTTGCAATTAAATTAAAATGACTAGATACCAAAGAGATAGCAGTAAATAATTCAAAGATTACTGCGCTGCTATTGCCGTGCTGCTTTGGCCTCATTCTTCAATCTGAATAGTTCTTCTTATAGCAATACAAACTGAGAGCAGGTGAGACAAAAAAAAGGGAGTTGGGGCCCATTACTTAATCCTATTTCCATAACAGCAGGCGCGTATCAAATCATTCACAAACAAAAATCCACAGGCGTGTCACAGCACGCCACCACATCATCTGCATGAGAATCTGCCTTGCTTTTTCCAGGACAATAATGAAATAGGGGCTCCGGTGCGAAAGGAAAGGAAATAACAACACAAACAGTAATCTAAACCATCTTGTACAAAACAGCAATCAGCAGAGACGCATCAGGGGAGAACTTGGCAGAAGAGTGCGTGACCCAGTTGCTAACTTCTTAAGGGGGGAGATTTCTTCCGAGGAGCGTCTTCCAAAACTCTGACTTTACCTGCAAACTCAACTCGCAGCACTCTCCTGAGCACTAAAGATAGAAGCCTTACATTTAGGGGATGAGCTGGGGCTGTGAGGGATGCTTGGTGTGCGCGTGCCGTGGCAGCTGAGTGTCACCAGCCGCCAGATGATGGCGGTCTTGCCGGACCCCGCGTTGCCCACGACGACGGCCCCGCGCCCCTCACAGCTGCTGGATTTCCTCAGGACCTCCTCCAGCCGCGTGAAGAGCCAGTCGCGGCCCACGAAAGGCGTTTCGGCCGTGACGCCGGGGACCTCGAAGAGCAGCGGTTTGAGCATGATGTCGGCTTGTTTGAATGGCACCAATCTCCCTGGACACAGTGGTAAAGGCCGAGTTAAAAAAACTGCCCCACAGTGAAAAAATGCTCTGTATTCTAGACCTGTTTCTGCATTGGTATGTCTGTGCTTGTGCAAAAGCTATATTTAAATCCCAATGTTTCCCCTGAGGTGAGGGCACAAAATACCTTTGGAGTCGTCACATGCGCGTCCAGCTGTGTTGTGCTTTCGGACGGAGGCCCGGTGCCCAGCAGCCCTTTGGTTGTCCAGATAACTCAAGTCTTCGAGACGAGTGGAGCTTGTTGCTGTACAGAGAGTGTGAGTGGAGCATGGATTCAGAGTGTTTAAGAGAAAATGCAGGAAATCCGCAAAGACATAACGTGCAGATACCCCAGTCAATAACCGTATCCATGGAGACGTCAGACATAAACTTGTACGGATAAGTGACCTCGAGGAGGAAAGATGGAGGAAAAGAAAGGAATTAATTTGCTATGCTGTAATCTCAAACTGACGTGAGGGAAGCGGCCAAATGTTGCACTCTGTGTGAGAACAAGACATTTCGGACAACCAGTGGAAACACGTCGCCGGCTGTAATGCAAAAACGTATCAGCTGTCAATAATAGGTCAGAAACCACCCCACTAATGATTAAATAAGCAAGAACTCCAGAAACGGAACAAAGAACTTTTTGTACTGATGAACAAGAAACAAAAAGAGAGCTGTCTCTACCCCCCCACATTCACCTATCCAGCCACCCACTCACTCCACAGAGTTTAAAGGTCAGCCAGCCGGTTTATGCAGTTACGATGACTTTTAGGTGAGTATTTATACCAGGTTGTTGCGAAAGATATGGACAAAATGCTGCGTTTGCTGTGCCCTTTTTAAAAAGAATCTAACTGTCACCGAAACTATTGGCCATTGATTTTGTTAGTCCAAATGTTTGCTGCAAAATGAGAGAAGAGAGAAAAAGGAAGACCCTGTAAATTGAAATGTAAACTTTTACATATATGTAAAAAAGTAGTTCAGTAGTTGAGTAGTTCAACTCAATTTTACATATGAATCTTTTACCCTCTGCAAGATAAAATTTTCTAAATGTTTTTGTGGAGAATTTGAATAAAAGCTATTTTGGTGTATCCACTGGTACAGTTTCCCGAGGAAGAAAATGGTCAGCTTGATAGACAAGCTAAGACTCCATCAGTATCTGAGCCAAAAGACAAAGTGAGGCAGAAATCAGAGGCCTTCAACCTGTAAAAAGATAAATTTGTCTCTCAAGAAGCCAGAGCAAAGGTGACTCTAGTCTCAACGTTCCCTTTGTGGGAATCTCTTCAACTCATGACCATGTTTAACTTAAATGTTCCTTTCAGGTCAACATGACAGGGCATTCACACAGCAAACATGGAGGGAATATCTGCTCTCTGTGGAGATTTGACAGCCAGACCTTCACATTTCTCATTTTTAGTAGTTACTGAATCAAAGGAATGGTGTGGAACAATTTTATGGCATCCAGCCCTCAAGATTGAGACGGCGATCACTTCAAAAGACAACCACCAAATGTTTACCACCAAACTGCATCAATTTCTGTTAGTTATCGCAAGTGTCCCATAGAAAAGAAGCAGCTTTGGTGTCACTCTGAGAACTTTTGTTCTTCATCAGCTATATCGACCGCTTTTTATGTCTTTGCATGATTTTGCTTCTTTGACAAAGTTGATTTCCCTGACCATTGCTTGTCCTTTCATTACATTTTGAATCTCCATCTTTTAATTATATATTAATCCATCAGTTAATTTGATCAGATGTTCCTTTTTTATTGCCCTTGTAATAGCATGCTTCTCCCATGTGCCTTCCTTTTCCTTTTTGTGGTTTCCCATGGCAAAAGGACGCTCTGGACAATAATACACAATAATTCAGCTGAAAAACACAATAATTAAACAAAACAACACTAATGTGTTTCCTTCATAAATAATCGAGCATTTTCTTCCTTATCAGATTTTTGTCACCACTACGCAATGCAATTTCACGGTAATATAACCTGTTAGAGACCGGTTAATAGAGAAGATGTTCAGTAAAATTTGATTGACGTCAAAACATCTTCAGAGTACTTGGTAATTTAATGGATGGCTTTTCTGTCTTTGGAGTAGCGGCTGTAAGGGAAGAGGTTCTGTTTTAGTTTAATCTTTTAGTGAGTCTCCCTCTTCTCCTTGAATGTAATCCAAGTGGTTTATGAATCAGGCATGGCAGAGAATCAACTAACCAAATTACAGTTAGAGCAACCAATGCTTATTGGGACCTCATGGTTTGTATTAATCTTGGTTTCCTGAATGTTTATTTTTGGCTTTTAATATCATTGAGATTCAGATTTTAGAAACGATAAGTCAGCAAATAGATGTTTCAAATGATGCTGAATCTGCTCGGAGAAAGATAATATGTGTGGTCTTTGTTTTAAATCATTATGAGACAAGTCTATGTCATTCATTTATTCAATAAATGAATGGAAGGGGTCTTTATCACTGCTATAATACACAGAAAAATAATATTCTGAAAAATCTGGCAGTTCTATTGATTCCTATCTATTCACTGTGGAATGAAAAGAAGACTGAAGTTACGCTGCTCTGCTAAACACTGCAGATAGATCAGTCAAACAGGTAACGCACAAATGTGTGTTTTTCTCTAAAATAATCATGTAGAGAATTCTCAGCACAAAAGAAAACTGTACACACCAGGCCTGTTAAAGCCCCATGTAGCCTGCTCTGAAAAGCACTTCCCGATCAATGAGGCCCCAAAACTAATAAATTACAGTAGGAACAATGGACTCATAATTTATGTAATGAGATCAGTGATGTGAAAACACGACCAAACTGGCAGAAGAAAGCGTTCAGGACAAGGGACGAGCATGAAAATACAAATAGGAGTGTAGATTTGCGACTTGAAAGAACATCCACAGTGAGAGGATGGAGCACAGTCTGCAGCAAAACAGTGTGAAGGAGGTGTGGAGTGGGATGAGAAAGCTTTCTGGCTAAAGACAACCAGGCCAAATGGCTGAGTGGACCAACGATACAGTGAATGAGTAAAAACATGTTTTCGGCCAGTTTTGACACGGAGACACCAGAACAGCTCATCCTTCCACCCGTTCGCAGTCCAACCTATTCCTCACTCACTGCCCACCTTTAAGGGCCCTGCAGATGACTGTGTGGCTGATTGCCCTGCAGCCCTCGTTGATCCTTCATCACTTTAAAGGCCAACTGTGCAGCCACAGTCCAAGCTCCCAGCACGCCTGAGAGGGAAACATCACTTTGGGATTTTTGTCATTTTACCTCAGCTAAAATGAACAGTTGTGACATTGGACGAGCCGTTGGGGACTGGGACAGGTCACCCTAAGACAATTTGCTGGCGTCATTAGAGGGACTACCAGGAGGATTCTGTTTGGAACTGGTTAGTCCAGTCAAAACAAACCATTAGTCTCTGTTCATTTTCAAGATTCTATTACACTATCAGCCTTTGGATAACATAATAATTCACCCTTACAAAGAACAGCAGGTATTTATTGACTTTAGATACATGCATATGAATGGAATATATGTATATATTTAAATGTCTGTTTGCCTTTTCAGGTTTCTTTTTTTTATTTTTCAGATACATTGCACACGGCAGTTACGTCCACAACATAAGACATGAGTGCCAGGACATTACGTCATCAAAATTAGGTCACCTCTAACTGTCACATGGGACCTTTTGCCCAAGCAGGAACAGCAGTACGAATGAAATATCTCTCTCTCGACTCACAGCATCTTTGTCAGCTTTCCATTCAGAATAACCTTAAATGGCTCCGGTATGCGATGAACACCATCAAACAAATCAACCTCATTTGCAAAGTTTCAAAAGCTCCACTGCTATCGAACGCAGAAAATGAACAAACTTCCTCTGTTTTTCCACCTTCTGTAAAGTCAAACACAGCCAGGCTGTTCATATTCTATTTTTCTTAATCACAGAACCAGCAAACAACCCCAAAAAATGTCCAACAGCACAGCAGTCGCTTCGAGCTGCAGCACATCTTCAGCTTCTGCTTCAAAGAGTCTCCCGTTCGGCAACCAGCATATTGTTCAATACGGCCCCGATCTATGTCCATGGGGGGGTGATGAGGCAGACAACCTGTATTGACTCTATGAGCTGCCTTGCTGTATCAAGATGCTGCAGCTTTGCAGCAAACTCTTATCTCAGTGTACCTTGAAGTGAACCGGCTACTTTCTCCATCAATTCTGTAAACTCATTTAATGAGCACACGGGGCTCATTAAAAGAGGCGTGTGGCCATTCAACTACCTTTTAATATGGACTTTTAATCAGAGAAACGTATGTGCTGTTATAATACATACACGACAGTCTTAACACAGATTGCAGTCGACATCGTCGTGCTCATGTGTTTGCTCTTCTCCTTTGTTCTTGCTGTCTTGCATACCACGAATTAACAAATGATCTCATCAATGTAATCTCATTAGCAGCCAGCTTCTTTTGTTAATGGACAATATTGCAGCTCCAGGACCAAAATGTTCTATTTGGGAATAAAGTTTTGTCTCATAAAGTGTTTCATGATGTGCATTTAGCTTTAGCAGGGTGTTCAAATCACTGAGGAATGAGGAGCAGGATTCTAGCAGCTACTGTACAGCGGCGCGCTTCATCTTTCCTCTGAATTTCATCAAGAGTGCCTAAATGAAAGCACCAGCTGACAGAAGAAACTGGCAGGCATTACTGTGAATCGACTCCTTAGGGAATCTCTTCTTTTGCTCTCATCAGAAACGAACTGACATCTAAAGGAGGAAAAAAGAGCCCAGCGAAGATCGTGACTGGGGAGGGGAGGGGCTACTTTTTATGACAACTGGAAGCCTCCCAGGACTTTTAACTGAAGCTGCTCGCTGTGTGTATCCAGCTTCTGAGGAAAGTAGAGCACCAGCGCACAGTGCAGTGAAGTTCAGCACGGCATCTCAGAGATCCCACAAATGATGCTTTCACTGGGTCTGGATGAGTAGCTGGAAAATGTCGTGTCAACGATCAATTCAATCTGTTTGCCATTCAGTCGATATTAATCACTCCATTAATTAATCACTCGGGTCACAGCTGTCGCATTCATCCTCTCATTAGCCGACTTCATCGATGCTATAAAGCCAGCTTTGGCAACTCGCTCACTCGCTCGCTAAATGTTCCTCATTTGTTTAGGGTTTAAGAAAGCAGAGGTGTGAAAATGGGGCTGTCAGGTTTTGTGTGGGTCACGGGGTCATGTGTGGGACTATTTCTCGACTTCCTGGAGTCGCTGCTGGTTGACGAGCAACCTCTTTGTGAAGGCAAGACTCCAAGAAATATATGCTAATTAATAAGCTTTATATGGTCCGTGTAGGCGGAATTTATTCCCTCTGTTTTCATTCTTTTCACGAAGCTCAGCGAGCAGGCGTGAGCTTCATATTGACCGAACAGCCTTTTCAATCAAACTCAACAAGAAGGCAAAGCAGAGCAATATCCAAGAACACTTTTCAAGTCAAGCTGTTTCTTTTATCAAACAACGACAGAGGAGAGGAAAATGAGTTCAAGTACCTGCCACTGAGTTCGGGCGGGTCATCACTAGTGAGGAGGTGCTGTGTATGTGGTGCTGTGGGAGGGGTCTTTTCGGTGCCGGTGGGGTCCTGGGCTCCAGGCTCTCCGGTCTGGGCAAAGCTTCATCGGACTGGGCTTGCAGATTGTTTCCGGCCATCCTGGGATGCCGGCTCTCGTTTGCCGGGGCCGTGGCACTGGCGCTGGCCCCCGCGCCCTCCTCCTTCTGGGGAGCCTCACTGGAGGTGCTGCGCTCCTCATTCTCAGAGGAACTAGTGATGGTTGCTGAGTAGTGCAAAAAAAAAAAAGAAGAATATGCTTAATGTAGCCAACAAAGAGTGGAGTTTTATTACTTAAAAGTGGCTGAAGACCCAAAACAAAGCAATGGCTGCAATTTGAGAAATTGCATAACTATATCATCTCATCTGACATGAACTAATCAATTACTGGGATGCATTGTACTTGATTTGCCTTTTGTATCAAACTATAAATACAAACTCTATTTAGGGAGAAAAAGTGTCCTATTTTGGGACAGTCAGACCCACAAGCAACAAAGACAGCAGTGTCCCAGTTTTGACAGGAGGGAGCTGAAGCCTTAAGGTTGAAGTGGCACAGACAAAGGAAGACTGCGGGAATGGGGGACACATACATAAAACTTAAAACTAAGGGATATTGCATCTAAGTTCCTGCTGACATGAGATGAAAAAGATACGAGGCATCTTCTGTGGGGCAAAATATGTAAATACCAAGTTAAATAAACCTGTGTTGTGTCATAGCTAGCTTTTTTTTCTTTACTTTTTTTTTTTACTCTTTCATTTTTGACTGGCCAAAAGTTTGCATTTGCCTTAGCGTATGTTTAATAAAAAGGATCCTAATTTACGTAATGCTGAAAGATGCTTGAAAAGTTGAAACCCTCACTTATAATTCCGCTGTCTTTACTCTCCAAGGTTGAGGTGGGGCTTTGAGATGGAGGGCCTGGGCTGCTCCCGGAGGTGTGCCCAGAAGCAGGGCAAGGGACGGGGCTGGACAGCGTTCCACTGGGGCTGGTACTGGAGCCGCAGAAGGGAGAAGAGAGAGGCAAAGACTGGGGCAAAGAGGGGCCTCCAGCACTGGTGCTCAGGGTGGATGTGGGGCTGTCTGAGCAGGGGGAGGCTGTGCTACAGGTCAGAGTGGAGGTTGGACTCCCCCCCTGGGCAGAGGTGTCACACTGAGAGACAGAAAGAAGAGGGAGAATAAAGTGGCACTGGCCTTTGTTCAAGACAGTGAAAGCATCAACACATAACAAAGTGAGAGAACCACATGAAATTACAGAGCAAATAAAGTCACAAAAATAAATACAGGCCCATTTAGGATTGATCTTAAATACGCCAAGTCAAAATTTGTGTAAAAGGTGTCCAGAGTTTCCTTCAGAGGCCGTGGGGTGAAAGTACCACTGAAAATCTGCGCATGTTCACCGCTCCCAAGGAAAAAAAGAGACTGTGGATGTGCTGCTAATCTCTTAAAGGGGGCGAGTCAGTGGGCGAAAACCACACAACGCAGAAGAATGCGATGACTCTTTAGTGGGCCGTCTTGTTTCTGAACTGTCCCTGTTCTAGTGGAGTTCCTTTATCTCAAAAGTATGGTAAATTAATAGTGTCAGCTGCCAGCCTTTCAACAGAACTTCCCTCTGCATGACAGTGTTTCCCTTCAAACTCGCTGCTTCATGTGAATGACTATGTTTGAGGGAGCATGCAGATGGGGAATGAAAGGATGAATCCAGTTATTTTCATCCAAGCTGTCATTTTCCCGGTATTTCCTAATGACAACTGGTTCTGCTCCAAACCATGTCAATTAGACTAGAAATGCACAATTTCCTCTTTGAGCCGCTGTCCATACATTCTGCTGTTCTACTCAAGGATGATTGCAGAATGGATTGCAAACATTTTTCAAGTGTCGGGATCCAAAGATATCAAATATTAATGGATACGTAAAGAAAATCCAATGAACAAAATATGGACCATATAGCAGTAAGTGATGGTTTTCTATAAATGACACACCCTATATAATACATGCTTACATTATGCAAGATATCTTATATTTACAAAAGAATATCAATGCGTGTTACAATGTTAGCATAATTTACTATGTGAGTGTCACTTTGAATATAGTAAGTCTATTATGGTGGACAATCCAGTAAATGTAAACCATGTTAACAAGGAACAGATTAAATCCACTTTTCCAAATTAGTGCATATTGCAAAACTTTAGCATTTAGATTTCTACATTTTTGTTTTGACCGTTGGAGACAACTTGCTGTAACAGCTTGATTATTTTCTTTAAAATAACTCTTTTTGCACATATGTGTTGAATAAATTCATGTTTCTTCAAAAGGCACATTCTCTGTGTCCGTATATATCTTTTTTAAATCATTCATATGCATTATAGTAGATTAAGAGCTTTTACAAAGGCAGTGAAATCTTCAGACACATCCTCAGACATCTTGGTCCTACACTGACATGTTGTTTTGAAGGAAAAAAAAACCCAGTCACTTTTGAATATTCCTTATCCTTTCGTTTGATCATGAGGATCCACTGTCTTCATTACTGATGCAACATTTCTGCAACAGAGAGACTGTTGGGAAGCAAAGCAGCACAGTTTAAACAGCTCGCTGTTATTCCCTTTATACCAGAGCCTCATCTATCTTAGCCAGGACAACCCACATTCCTCATATGAGCCTTGCTATCTCTGTGAAGCTGACTGAATCTGGAGCTCAGGTGGTAGAATGAGGCTGAGAAAATGGGCCAAGGCTGAGCAATGCAAAAGCATGAGATGGAAAGACATAACGCACAAGATCTTGTCAAATAAGGGGGTTCAAACTGATGGTGTGCTGAGACTGGAAATGGAGATCTACTGATGCAAAGAAAACAATTATTAAAAGGTCAAAATTAATTCAGATTTGTTTCATAACTTTACTAAAAAAAAAGGAGTTGCTATATTCAACTGGTGATCGAAGAAAGAGAAGGTTGTGTCATAAAAAGTCTGGTTTCCATGTGGCAGCAGTGTGCCAGTAAATCAATGTGTGCCCTACCTTTTTATCCCTCCTGTCCTCCATAGGAGAGCTAGCAGTGCCGGCCGTTGCTTCTCCCAATAAGAAGCATAGTCTGGTCATCAGTTCCTGGGTAGAAAGGGAGGAGCCAAAGTGGGGCTCCACGTGAAGGTCTGAGAAAAAAAAAAAAAAAAGTCAGGACACCACAATTAACAGTGAATCTGCAGAGCAGATGGGAACAAACGGAACTGCCCCCAAAATTTAGATGCCCAGCTCAGCACAGATTTGCTCGTGAGGTTCCACCCTCGGCTGTGGACTGCCCGATTGGTGGGCGTCCACAGGTCAGCCCGGCCCCAGCTGCACGCTTCCTGGCCGCTCAGACAGAGGCTTTCCAGTCCCCCGACTGGGGCGGACGCACTCGGTTGAGTGAGCTTGTGTGAGGTCGTGAGTTTACCCAGTGCATACGCTTGCCAGGTGCTCTCAGTTAAGAGACAGCCTGCGAATTTCAATGAGCTTCGTGTCGACTGGAACTGAGAGGAGAGCTTTGGTTCTGCCCTCACTGTTTCTTTCGGAGAGCCTGGCAGCCTCGAGCCATGTGCTGCATTCATTTATCACTGTTTAAGGGACCCTAAGGCTTTGACCTCTGCTCCCCCAGGGTCCGTGCTCATCTCGGCAAAGCAGAGCCGTTGTACTTTTCAAATCCCTGTGTTTTGCTTTACTGAGCATTTCAATCCCACATATTCACATCTCATCTGTCTGCTCTCAGCTGAGTAACATGCATATTGAGTAGGCATATAAACAGAATGATAGGACATCATGGATTACAGCTCACTCCTCCTCACAAATATCTTTTCGTTTAAACATCACATTCATTTCACACTCCCTCCACCAAGTCTTCATCATTCTGTCTCCCTGGCTCTCCCCCTTAAAGATACTGCATCAAACTGCTCTTTCATTTAATCCAACTGTGTGCCAAACACGCTGGCAGTAGCCTTGGCGGTATCAAGGTCAGTTTTGAGAGGCAAGCATAATCATTCTCGTTTGTTCTTGCAGTCTTTGTCCCTACTCTTTTGACAGGTTGAAAGGCAGCTGAAAGCTGAGAAGTTGTGTACTTTAATGAGGGAGAGGAGAGGAAACTTTGCATTTAGTGCGTTGAGCCCTGAGATCCAATCTGGAGTAACATGAGGACACTGTGAATGTCCAGTACTATTCATCAAACCACCTGGCAGTTGCCATTGGAAACGGGAAGCTGAGAGGTGCCTGGCAACCAGGATGGAAGATGCCTCATGAAATCTGCTTAGCCTAAGGGTAGCCCTCTGGTCAAAAAGCACAAAGACAGCTGGAGGAGATGTATTTACACTATAATGTCTTTCATCTAAACTTAACTGTGCACAGAACATTTTAGATAAGTCAAGGAAAAGACTGAAGATATAAAACAGATCCAATGTAAAAAAAAATACACTTACATCATCCTCCTTCCATACACGTTAAAGAGGGAACTTAACAGAAAAGCTTTGAGGGTAAAATGACGAGGCGCACAGATACTTTCACTTGTAAAACACCTCATTCATTCTCTGCCTCAGCCCCGTTCTCACAGTCAGTCAGCCTCATTGATCAATACCTGGAACCACAGATACGATGCTAAACACACGCCCGCAAGCTCCTGTTCTCACCTCTGTAGTCTGTCTTGCCACGGCACGAGGCAAAGACAAGAGGTTCTCTCGCACTGGAAGAGCCATCCACATACTCCAGCTTCCTTACCCGTCCTTTGGCCACAGCAAAGAGGCAGGAGGGAGAGGGAGGGAGAGCATGCACGGTGGGAGGGAGGGATTGGGGGGGGTGGAGAAAGGGAGGGATATGAAAGAAAGTGAGTGAGGGAGATTAAGCCTCCCTAGATGAGATCTGCGGAGCAGAATTTGAATTGTGTCCCAGGAGCCTTCGTAAGAATGTACACAGAGTAAGCCATGCATGCAGACAATATTCACAGGTGTTTATCTATGGCATATTTATGCTGTTAGAGTGTGTGTGCGTGTGTGTGTGTGTGTGGTAGGGCCGGCAGTGCTCTCTGATGTGTGTGGGTGTGTCTCCGTTTATGCAACATTTCAGGGTTGGTGGAAGACAATTCTTCAAAACAGAAGACTCAGTCAAAGCTGAGACATTTACAAGTACAGAAATGTAGTCATTTTCCTACCCGAGGGAGATCGCTGTTTGACTCAAACTAGTGCTGTTAGACTCAGAAATGCTCTGCAGGGTCACACAGTTTTGTTTTTTCATTACAGGAAAACATAAAAGAAATCAAGTCCAGATCCCATGGATGTGAACTTGCTGTAATTTTCCTTTCATACTTGCAAAGGCAGTGGTGCATGCAATGAAATGTAATAGCAGCTTCTTCTTTTTTTCTGAATGGCTGGCCATAATTGCTGCGGGACGCTGCCACCTAGTGCTTCCTTTAACACAGACACACGGATAGAGATTACGTTTGTTTACTTTGCATTCGATAATTTATAGAATCTTGTGGAACTGTCTGTGTTTTTCTCCAAGCGATTTCAGTCAAATGTATTCATGAAACAATCACATTCTACATTTGTTTTCTGGATGCAAAACTAGTCATTCATCAAACATTCTATCATTTCTCCATGCCCAGCCTGTTCATATCCCCCCTCCCAAATCCAACCAGAAACTCAGGCCAATTTTGAATGAAAGTCTAAAATACACTTTGTTGAGACAGGAACAGGAAAAGAGGGGGCTTTTTGGGGGGGGTTTCAGCACAGATTAACAAATGTGTCTGGCAAGGATATCATCCAAGCAAACATTTGACAATTTTATTCAAAGTAAACATACTAAATATAGAATGTACATTGGGACCAATTCTGTTCCAACTCGTCATTACGAAAAAGAACATTGGGCTCATGATGCTGCTGCGTTACACGTCATACTGAAATAACTTTGGTTTAAAACATGGCTGTAAAGCATGAATTCCCCATTCTGTTGAATGCCTGCTGCCTTCTACTCGCCTTCCCTTCTCACTTTGCTGGTGGGAGGGACCAAGACTGGAGAAGAGGAGTTGAGGAAAGGATTTAAGGTTGCGCAAAATGAGAAATGGGAACAGGGGATAGATAGATACATCATGAAAAATACATAATTTGGCTCTATTGTGGAGGAGGATGTTGTGTAAAGGGGGTAGAAGAGTTTGTCTAAGGCCCTTTAGATTCAAAATGACACTTTTCCTGTTCTTCGTTGAAAAGATCATTGCAAGAAGATTTTTAGAATAGGCTGTTTTATGACTTGTTTTGTTATATTTTTGTTTCTTCATTCAATTTTACATTTAGGCCATGTTCGCTTCTGCTCATGTAGGAAACGGTTGGTATTTTCACTATGGATCTGAGTCAGTGAGGTTTGTTTGATCTGAACCTGTAAAACACTTCAGTATTTTTAGTGGTGCGTGCCACCGCTTCTGTCCACAGGCCGTCAAACTATCAATCAGATCTGACAAGTTTTGACTTTGGTTGAAAATGGTTGCTGAGGGAGATCAAGACTCTGTCGCAAATGCAACTCACATTATAGTCTGCAGTAAGTCATGTAAGCCTGCTCAATCCCCTCCCCAATGTTCTGAAAACTTCCAGTTACTCCTCAGCTATGCTCTTTCTTCTCCATATGTTTTGTGTCGGTTTCCTCTAGTACGGAACAGAGTTTGCAGTTATGAATTTGTACAAAATGCTTGGATGTCTGACATGTAGATTCCATCTGATACAGCATCTAAATGTTGACCCACCTAATTAGATTTCTGTGCCTTTAGTTGTTTCGCTCAATTATTCACTCTGACAATCTGTCACATGTTTTTCGGGTCCTGGGGGCACACTCTGTATGCTCTCGTACTTTTTTGTCACATGTATGGAACGACTGAACGCACAGGAGCTCCCAGCGAATCAAAGCAAAGCCACATGAGCACTCCGTTACATTTAAACTATTCCCCCGTGCACAGTTCATCATCTTTGAGGCCAAGCTTTGTTTGGATTATCTCATTTGAACGCACCTGGGAACTTGATGCACGAGTGGGAGGAGGCTATGTCCGCCTGGCGAGGTAGAAGCGGGGAGGATGGTAAAGAGACGGACACGCCCTTGGTCAGTCTCTTTAGCTTGACCGATCTGCCACTGTCCCGGTTGTGGTGGTGGCTGGCACGCTGGCCACTGTCCCTCTGCAGGGTGCTGGGGGTGTACACCTCACAGCCTGCGTGGATAGATGGGTACATTTTGGGAAAAAAGACAAGAGGTTTTCGCGGGAAGTCTATGAAATGTGTTTCCCTTCCGTCTCGAACAAATCACACCTGAGAGGCGTGTTACCTCATAAGGTCAGGGAAAGTTAGCAGCACCAGAAAATGCATTCACAAATGGCATCGCACCTGTTTATCAGGCTACAATTATTACATTTTAAATTGGCATCTTTCATTTCCAGTGACGATGCCATTAAATCTGATTCAGGTCCTTGAAGCAGAAATTGTGCAATTTGCAGACTTTTTTCATGAAACAGATTGATGCAGTGTATCCCACGGCAAAACTAATTGTTTCACTTCCCTCCGTGATGAGCAATTCTTTTGCTGCTGCGATCATTTTGTACAAAACAAAGATTCACAGAACTAACACATAATATAGCAATCTGACATGTTTAGTGGTTGAAAATGCCTGTACAGTAAACACACTATATGAATTTAATGAGAGTGACATACTTCTCTATCCTCCTCTGTGTTCTTGCTTCCCAGTGCAGCACGTTATTAAATATTGATAAGCAACATGGTTGCTCTAATACTGAGCTCTACTTATGTTCATGTATCTCCACTGCGCAGTCAGAAATTTCCTCTGTAATGCAGCAGATTGACAAGTTCACCCTGTGAAAAGTACAAATGGCTTCCTCTGAATGGGAAGATATCCCAGAGATGCACAGCAACACAAAGCATTCACCATATTCACAACCGATACAGCCTCTGCGTAAGTGTGCAGATTATTTTTCATTCAGGTATAACACGTGCACGTTTTTCATAATTTCCATCTTTAATAGGTCAGAGTGTTTGCTTAACCCACTCTAACTTAGTCTGACACACTTTAAATACAAGCAGAGGGACACTGTATGAAGGACGGAACACACTGATGAATTAGGCTAATTGAAATGGCTCTACTTAAATCACCCAAGAGAAGAGAACCTGAATTTTATCATCAAATAACACAAGACCTTCACAACGAAAGATCCATTTTCCCATATTTTTGTCTCCGGATAAAAATCAGTTTGGAGAAGACAGTGTCCAAAAGTGGGCAATTATTGAGCATACATAGTTTTTTTCTTTCTTTTTCTTTCTTTTATTTTTTACACAGAAGGCATCAATAGCTTTGTTTACCTGCATTTTTCTGGCTCTTTTTCCCTTTTGGTTTTCCTCCTCCATCCTTCTTATTTCCAAACATCGACTTGAACATCGCTGAGCTGGATCTTTGCTGCAGGGGAGAAAAAGTACAATGCATATTTCAAACCGATTACTTCAGCCAACATTACCAGCCTTAATGGCTCCTCATTAACAACAGAGTGTTTTTCAAGACCATGATAATTGTCTAGTCTATAATAAAAGCGTCTTCATACTAATTAGAGGTACCCATTTAACAGAAATGTCAAACACAAATGATGTCATCCTAAAATCAACGCTTACCTATTCTTAAATCTTCTTTTGTTCCCGCATGTTTTCAGATAAATCCACAAAAAGCTGGGGGTGGGAGACTATATAACCTCGCAGAGTCCAATTAAAAGTGTGATGCACCCTCTTTAAAATGATGAAAGGAGGCGGACGTGCGCTGTGCTCATGCGTGTTTGTCTCGTGTTCAATATTTGACGCACTGTTTTATCTTTGGGTACTTTTATGCTTTATCAGCTTGTGTATATGTTTCTTTTAAGAGAAACTCATTAACGTTCATTAACAACCGGTGTTATGTGAGCTTTTAATGGTTCAATTATACTGAAAAGCTATTCGTGGCGTCATTTTCAATGTAACGTCTTGACAATATACAAAAATACGAAAAAACAACAACAACATGAAAATTGTTTATATTTGTAAGGTTAAACTGGTGTTGAAATTGATTCTGGGGACATTTACTTACCTATTCGGGAGCAAACTACTGCAAACAACGGGGGGCGATAACGTACACGTAGATGTCCTGTTTTTCCTCTAGGGGGCGATAACGAGCAACACCGACGACGTATAAATTCTGAAGACTGCCGGTGGTCTTCCTTTCTAAGGACCGTGCTCTCAGAAGAAGATTAATCCTTGAGGAGCTGAGTCTGTACAGAAGTTTATTAGCCAGCTATTAACTGTCGTAGCTATGAACCTGCCTCACATGACATGGTTTCATGTAAGTATGCGACGTGGCTCATTTACGTATCTGGTGACTAAAGGAAGGCTAGCTTGAAACACGTGGGCACGTGTGCGTTAACTAACTTTGGCTATCACCGAGGGGAACATTGAGGTATATAAAACGGTAACCCCATAAATAAATGCACATATATTTTATGTATTAGGCAGAGAATAGGACACAGTATTACAAAGCCCCAAAAAGTGCATGTTTTCGGCGTGGCTAATTTTCTGCTAGCTAGCTGCTGTTAATGCTAACTTAAGTGAACGTGGTAACCTTTAGCCTCTTGATTTAGCTGATTTAAGTAGCTTAAGTTAATTTAATTACTTCAAACTGCCTGAACAGTAATAAACAGTGCTTTTCGTTATATGAACCGAGCCAAGTGAACCTTTTTAAAATGGATGTCGAATTGAGCTCACAAAATATAAATGTTTTACATGTTTGAAAGAAAACTTAAGCCAAGTTATTGAAATGCACTTGGTAGCACGTGTTCATATTGTTTGACTTTCCAATAACCATGCTTATAGAATATAAAGTATTTTTGCGTGGATTGATTTTGTTTCATAAGATCTCTGTATTTGCACATTTGTCCCTCTTTAGGTTCTCATATGCCTCTTCTGGCCACCTGAATGACCTGGATGGGGGATGACTGCTTGGCTTGGCCTTCAGCGCCCTGGCCTGATGATGATTATGGCGATGCTGTGGCACCGATCACTTGGTGCAGCGTCAATGGTTTGGTAAAAGTGACCTAAAAAGACAGCAGCTACAAAGATGTAAGTGTATAGACAAGCTTGTATCCGTTTCTGCTGACCTGACCCTTTTGGTCTGGTCACAATCTGCATCTTTGACAGCCCGGGTTCTCTGTTGTGAGATATCCCGGGTTTTGATTTTGCAGATGCAATATGAAAAGTCCCTGCGCTTTCTGCCCGCCTATTTTCCCATGGCGTCTCGGATTGAATAGGGGAGGACAATTGAAAGACTTGTGACCCTGACTATGAAAGCCTGCACTTGTGCGTACTTGTAAGCCTAAATGTGTTTCCCTTTGTCCATTTTCCAGCCTAGAGGGGTTATTCTTTGAAATGACGGCCGACCGGATGGTCCAGCAGCTGCCGGACGCTGTGGAGGAGGGGTGGTAATGGCTGGCGGGTAAAGGTGAGATGCTGAATTGTTGTTTTTGGTGTGAAAGGCTTCGATTCGCATCCACTGATAGACCTGAAGCAGACTTCATTGGCTTCTGGGTTTGCACAGAGATGCAAAACTGAGCTTTCCTCGCGCTTCCTGACTGCTCCATCTCATAGCGGCACAGATTGAATTGAGGAATACATTGTTTTTCCATTTTTAAGATTGACTTGTACATTTTTATTTGACTCTGTCAATGTGTATTTATATCAAACACACATTTGAGTTTTAGGTATGAAATATTAAGTTTGTATTTGAATACTTACAATTTTGGCTTTATGATCAAACTCTTAATTGTCTCAATTCTTTTGCAGATTTACAGCTGAGGTGTTCCTGTACAGCAAAGGAGATTTTCCACTCAGAGCCATATTTCTTTGTCACATGGAAATTCAAAACGTTGTCACCTCTTGTAAATGTTTCTTCACAATAAACTGAATTTGAACTTTGATTTGTGAATCTCGTGATTAAATTTCATCAGAACAGATGGTTATTCTAAATGTTCAAATGCTGTCCTGAGGCACAGACTAAAAGTTGTCTTTTTTTTTCTGGTTGAATTTGATCCTTTAAAACGTCCATTTTGAAATGTTCTGCATTTCAATGATCAAACATGGAAATACTCAAAACGGTTTTATTGGTTTAGTCAAAATGTAAAATCTAAAATTACACTGGAATTAAGTTCATGCACTAAAACCTGATATCAAAATGGGTTTCTGCAGGAAAAAAAAAAACTTTCAACTCTGACCACAATTGCTTAGTCGCATTTCAATATAAAACCAGCATCACACGGGGCCCTCTATCCATTAAACCCTAATAAAACACTATGGACTCCAATTTAAACTAATGCTCAGTTTGAAGGAGAGGACTGAACCAAACACTCAGGGACCTGCTTCTATGATGTGCAGAGACGGTGATGGCGTGCTATTAAGAAACAAGTGTGTTATTTGTCAAACTCCAGTTTGTTCTGCACTGCTCCACCGTGAAGCGCCTGGAAACCTGAAGCAGAAATCAGGCGAGGATCCGGGCCACATAAATGAGGAAAGCAAAAGGAATGTGCGTCTATTCGTCCGTCTTTTCCTCGTTCTGGTAATGCCTGTACTCTGGCTTCAGCTCCCAGGTGTTCTTGTGTGTTCCTTTCACGTTGTAGATGCCGATATCACGCAAGATTTCCTTCAAGTAAATCTGAGAGGGGAAAAAAGACCAAATACAAGGAAAGAAAATGAATACTCTGAAAATGAAAACCACGACTGAAGACCATGGGGAGGTCTTCCACTTGTAACTGCCCGGCTCGGCTCTGTATGCTATTGGTGCCTCCTCACAGCTACACTTTCGGCACTTTCTTGGCTGGAGTTCCAGCCGGTTGAGTCGGCCAATGGCCGAGCGGAGCGGGTACGAATGGAAAACCCCCATAACCCAACGACAGGAATTCACTTTTTTTTTCAGGGCAAACAGTGTTTTTTAAAATCACTTTGCACAAAAAGCTAATCTTCTTTTCTCACCACAGGCTGCTTGGTGATATCCACCAGGTCTTTGATGTTGTAGTACTGGTGCTTCTCAAAGGCAGAAAACAGCATATCCAAAACCTGCTGTTTGGTGGCTCTGGCCCTCTTGCCCTCCTCCTTCTTCCTCTTCTCGTACTCGCGCTGCAGAAATTCAAATGGGGCCATTTATTTTCAAAGGAATGCAGAGGACTTGGCTTGTCTGTAGTTTGTCCTGTAGAATTTGTGCTACGTGGCTCCAAAGAATTGTTTAAAAATGAATAATTTTTTTAAAATACACAGTGGATATGAATTATGTGTATTGATGTATGAAATATCTCCTACGTTGTAGTCGTGGATGGCCACCGGTTTGTAATTGCTGGTGACGGGTTTGGACAGCTGCTGTGACAGCCGGACTGGCTTGGAGGACTCTTCGATCTGTAACCTGTTAAACGGATGACCAGGTTACCAGCGCATTGTACTCGTATAGAAACCACTAAAGGAGACGGCTCCACGCAACGTGTAGCAGCTCTCACCTTTTCAGCTTCATGTAGCTCTCACTGACGGCAGGCCGGCACTCTGCTCTCTGCACCACCATGCCCTCCAGGGCTAGTTTATCTGGAGAAAAAAAGCAAAAACAAGCAGAGTCAATGAAGGCTTTGACGAAAGCTTCAAATAATGAAGGCAGATGGAAAACAACAGTTAAAACAACCAAAGGTCGACTGCCTCGGTCAAAAAACAAAACAAAACAAAACTTTGACTCCTGACTTGATTTCACAACCGTCCCCGAGAGCAGAAAGCGCACCATTACAAACCAGGGTCACCGCTTGGACTAAGCTCTGAGCAGCAGTCTAACAGAGAGCAGAGGCTCGGCACAGAGGAAACACCGAAGCTCCAGGAGATAAAAAAAGGCCCCTCTTTCCATTCAGAACTAAATTTTTGGACTGCGATACCTAAGAGGCCATCTGTTGAGAAGAATGAGACACTCAGTCCGGTCACTTTGTGGCAAAATGGAGGACTCACCTGGACCTGCCCCCGCCCCTGAACCTGAGCTGCTGCCATCAGATCTTTCTTCTGACTGGCCTACAGGAAGGGAGGGAGGGATGGTACACATGAAATAACAGGGGGAGGAAGGAGGGCAATCGAGCAGTAAGACCAGCACCCGGGGTTTAGTTAATCCGGCACAAAAAGGTAAAAAAATATATATTTTAAGAAGCTTCTCTGCACAATATCTGTCAAGCACACACACACACGGGCGTAAGAGCAAAGCAAGCGTGGCCTTATGACAAGCGAGCACAGATACACCGTCCCACATCCAGGACAGGGCTGCACAAATGCTTCATTTTCCTTTTACACTCAAAAGAAAAAAAAAGAAAAAGAAGTCCTTTGAGTTGACAGTCAACAGAATCTTATTTGATGTGATGCTCATTTGATCAGCTTCCTGTTCGTTCAGGTCTCAGCTGAAAAACGAGCCCCACATCATATGACGCCTATGAGCATTTCTATGGTTAAAAATGGTCAACTGTGCAGCCCTCAGACACACTCGCACATGGAAGCGATGATACAAAAACGGCAGCACAAGACCACCAGCACTCAAAGGAAAAACGAGCATAAAACCAAACCTCGGCACATTCAGAGGGCAGACGACGCCGGTGGAATCCAAACTAAACCAAAGAAGCCCATGCAGAAAATAAATCGACTCCACACTCAATAATGATCCGTGTCAACTTGTCCGCTTTAAATTGCTCCCAAATGGTAAGAAGAGACTGCAAGAATCAACCCACAACACGTCTCTGACAAGCCTCCAATTCCGATTAATCACACTGATGATTAGACTGGTTCCCATTGAGTGATCACATTGGGACTGTGCAATACTCCAAACTCAAGAAATAAAAGTCACACAACAAGAGACAAGCAGGACAGGGGGGGGGGGGGGACGGTGCATGGGGGCAGCAGGCTGTACGGGCAGCAGGACAGCAGCTTCCACCGGCTTATCACACACCACTTACCTCCGAACCAAAGCGATAGACAACATTTCACAGGACAGAAAACGTGCGGTGAGCTGCAGCAGGAGCCTGGGGCTGCAGCGGGGGAACTCACCAGAGGAGCTCTCTGTGAAGACCGCCAGCATCTGACCTCCCACCGTCTGCATGGTGAAGGGGTGCTCGCGGGGCGCCGACACCGTCTTATCCTCGATACCTTCAATCACGGTCAGCTCCTCGTTCAGGGTAAAGGAAACCTGCAGAGAGCACAGAGGGGATATTCTCACCAGAGATTTTAAACTGAGCTTTAAAATGTTCCCATTTCAAGAGAACCCAAAATAAACCAAACAAATAAAACAACTGTGTTAACATAAATGACTGAATCTTTCAACATGTTTACAGTGGATCAGAACGTCTGCAGAGTGTACTGGACACATTGTGTTTATTTCTTATTTCTTGTGATTAGTCAAACGAGCTAAAACACATTTTATGAACATCTTTTTGAGCTAATTTGGATGATGCTGGAACAACATCTTCAGGTAATTCTGGAAGCGTCTACTCTCACTCAATCTAATCTTAATTTTTAAACAGAAACGATCGGCATTCAGAGATTAAAGAAGTACTACCGGGTTAAACTGGACTGAATGGAGACGGACAGCGTGCGGCACGTCTAAACGGGCACCACCCTGGTGCGCTGTGCTTCCTATGAGCATCACTTACCTCTGCTTTTCCTTGGTTTCCTTTCCTTAAAAACAAAACCAAGAAGCAAAGTTTCACTCAAATGACTGGGAAGTAAAAACAGTTCACTCCAATTTAACACACATTCCCCTGTAGATGCACAGTCAAATGCCTTTACAATATCATTTGTGCAGTTTTAGTGTACAGACACTAAAACTGCACAGTACTGAAAAAAACTGTCAACACACATTTTCCTAAGAAAAAAGTGGAGCCACACATCCGACGTAAGAATCTTCCTTCCACCTGTCCAGGTTGTCACACATACATGTGTAAAGCACTTTTAAATTCAATTTGATTTTACTTTGTTGCAGCCAATAGCAGTAAAAGTGGTGGTCATATCATAACTGTACAATGAACAATGGACATCTCTGTCTTCAGCATTCTGAAACCCTACATGATGGATTTCTATTTACAGTTCAACCCAAGACTTTTCTGCCCAGTCCCCTCTGAAACTCAACAGACTGGCTTCTACTTTATTTCACATACTTGCAGATTCTGAGTTTCCCGACTTCCCCTCTGCCCGACGCTTTCGCCCATTGTTGAGAGAGGTATTTTGGCACCTGTAAAAAGATCCACGGAGATATATTTTTAAACATTAAATGCGTATCTAAAAGGGTGATAAATACATTTGCAGCAACAGGAACAACTTATAACTGCATGGTAGTTTAAGGTTACTAGAATTTGCTTTTGCATTTACATCTTGTGTGTGTTTTTACAACAAAAAACAACGTTACTGGTGTAACATCTTAGCCATGCAACTCACAAAAACAGAGCATTTCTCCATCTTACAGCTTTATTGGTTCACTACTCCCGTTCAGTGAAGTTAACTTTGGTTTAATTTACCAACATAAAAGAAAACTGCCAGCTTAATTCAGTCGAGATATTAAGATTTTTCTAGTTACTGCGTATGATTTCTCTGGCTCATTCAGTCAGCATTGAGTGGTCTTACTGGAGTTTGGCTGCATATGCTAAGCTATGTTAAGGTTAGCCTGAAGTGTTTGGCATAAATAATTCTGCCTAAATCAAACGTGTCGATGTTATTAAAGATGGTATACACCCACCTTAACGAGCCACACTCCCGTGTTCTGCTTGGCACCGGTTAAATCAACTTCACCTTTTTCTGACATCTTTTAAAACGATGCTAACTTCGCGATTCAACCGCCTTACGGGTGCACGTAGGAGAAACGCGAAGGTACGGCAAGGCGAGGGGTCAATTCCAGTTCTGGCGTCTTTGGCAACACCGTACACTTAATAAGCAAAGTGCAAAAAAAATAATAATAATAAAGAAGAAGAAGACAGGCATTTATCAAACAAAAGGCTTCAAAAAGTAAGTGATAAAAAAATCATTAAAAACATAAAGGCGGGTCACTGAGAGCTTCATAGACAGTACCTGCCAGATAATTATCGCTGATAAATTGAAAAGCAAAAAATAAGCTGGCAATGAAATAATTCACGTTTTACAAATGATACTTTAATATAAAGGTTTGGAGACTTGTGTGCCAGCATATAGATACAAGCCAATGATTTGTTAAAAGAATTTAAAAAAAAGAAAAAAGAATGGTCTTGGAAAAACTGAAGTTCAAACATTTTTCATTCTTATGTGGAAATACAAAACACTTTTTAAAAGAAAAGGTCAGGTACGATGTGTCACAGACAAGTCAGGATATGAACACTAATATGAAAGGTTTAAAGTACATCAAATGGTAGATGCACCATTGCTGTTTCCATTGGTTGGTTTGTACAAACATTAGCAAATCTCAGAAAAAAAGAAAACTAAAACAGAAGATACCCTGAAATAATGCATGATGAAATATCAAAATATATCATTTGTTTGAATATCATCAGCTGTAACAGAGTCTTTCCTGAGTTAAAAAGCATGTTCTACTAGCTGCTGTTCAATTAAGTACACATTTCTAACCAGGCAGCTGGCGACTAGAAAACCTGCGTGTTGTGGATTTGAAACATTTCAACAGTGTGCTACAGGAACATCCGGTCCTTGCTGTGGGAGAAGCGTGTGTTCAGCTCCTGAGACTTCTTCAGCAGCCGCTGCTTCTGAGCCTCGTCAAAGCGATTCACCTGCAGGTCTTCGTCCCGATCAAACGGCCTCCTCTCCACCGGCTTGTCTGCCTTCTCCTTCGCTTTTTCCTTCATCGTTTTTGTGTGCAAACTTATGAGGGTCTCGGCACGTTTGGATTCCTGGAAATGGTGACGTAGTCAGAGGTGCTTTGACATGAACATTTGCAAAACAGAGACATTTTGGAGTAGTAAGTTAAAACCACTTACATTATACTTAGAGACTTTGTCTGCCATTTCTAAGTCCTTCTGGGAAACCTTCGGAATGTCATCCTTTACCGCCTCGCTCTTCTTCTTTCCTTCAACACGTTCCTGTGGGTAAAGTAAAAACCTATGACGTGGAGGGGCCTACAACCCGAGCAAGAAAAAGCTTAATAAACGGTGTTAAAGCGGGTTATTTTTCGTTAACTACCCTGGCTTTGCGTTCTCTGTCTGCTGGTGTATCCGTCCACATGGAACGATCCTTGTTTTCCGGACCAGATTTCTTCTTGAAAGTTCGAGCCCCCAAGCCAATGTGTTGCAGTTCTGGCGGGAGCTCCGTCATCCATGTTTCTCTGGTCTGCACCTCAGGAGTCTCCTGAGAACAAATTCAGACAGAGAAGCAGGATACTTTATCATCAGGAATGTTTTTGATGAGACTGTGTAGTTCAACAAAAATGGAAAAAAAAGGGAAAATAGCGTGTGGAATAAAATGAGGACTCACGGATGTCGTCAGCTTCTCTTTCATCCTTCGTGCCCTGCGCTCAAACTCAAAAGCCGCCGTGTTCTGGATGGGTCCTTTGGCAGGCATAGGACCGATCACGCCATCATCCTCATCCTCTTCCTCGCTGCTGGAAGGTTCGGCACAGTAGTCCGGAGGTAAGGCAGGCCCTGGGAGGCCTTCTTCATCTTCAACAACTTGGTCATCATCATTTTCAGAAGCTGCTCTTCGAAACCCTGGAGGTAAAGCCGGTCCAATCACGGGCGGCCTGGGGGAACACTATGACGTTACAGCTTCCTCGTGCTACCAATTCCCCACATTAATATCCATCGCTATAAAACTTCAGGCTGTTATTTTTCTCACCTTTCTGGAGAACTCTGTTGTTTCTTAAATCCTGGGGGCAGAGCTGGCCCAAAGAAGCCATCATCATCATCATCAGCAGCATTTTCTTTCCTGTTCAGAGGCACCAATAAGTGTTTTTTGTTTGTTTGTTTGTTAAGACTTCTTATTTACATTGGACATCTCTTGTGAACCCACTCTGCAGGTCTGTCTCCGGATGTTCTGGCTCTTTTGACTGACACCTCCCGGTCACTGTCATCCGAAGAGCTGGACGGTTCCCCCCGTTTATAACCGGGAGGTAAAGCGGGGCCAGCGACTAAAGGAACAGAGCAAAAACAGTTAAATCACGACAGTAAAAGCTGCCTGCCACAAATAATTCAGATAAAGCCTTTAACTAGACTACTAGCTTTTTAAAAAATGTGTTCACCCTTACAGTCTGTTTCACTATTTTCGTCCTCAGAGCTTTCTTTTCCGAACATTGGAGGCAAAGCGGGCCCAATAATTTCGTCAGACGACATCTTTGTTACAAATTTGGCAACGTATTTAAGACTGTTTTCTATTCAGTGGAGAAACAAATCCCCGTAAATTAAAAGACGGATTTGACCTTTAACTCAGGAAGTAAACAGTACTGCGGTGACGTCTTTAGTCAAGTTTAAATAATTTGTAACAAAACAAACGGAAGTCTATGAAAATATGCCAAAACAAAAGCACCACAAATGAGGAATTATCTTTTTTTTTTTCCTGGAAACGTGTTTCCAAGCATTCGTGCATGTTTTCTGTCTAGTAATTTGATCTATTTTGTATAGAGTATCCCCTTACTAATGGAAATTATATTAGACAGAAAATTAACATGATTAAATTTTTGATGATCGTCTCTTTTTAGTTGTTATTTTCTTAAGAAAAAATAATCCATATTAGAAACAGATTGTGTGAAAAAGATACGTTTAGATGTTTTAAACACTAAAAGATTACTTTTAAAAATCAAGTGATACTTCAGACAAAACATGTTTCAGTTCTTGTCTCACATTATTTGGACAAATTCAAAGAACAACAACTCAGATTGTTTTGAAATATACTACCGGAAATGCACATCATAATCATGTTTGTGTCTTCTTCTTGTGTCGCATTGGTTAGTTATTCTACTGGACTTCCCCAAAACGACAGATTCATGAATAGGTTACAGTTCTTTTATATGACTTTATCCATTTAAACGTTTAAAAAAATGGGTAAACGGGATAAAGGCGATCGGGGTAAGTTGCTCATGTTACGTTCAAAACTACGTAGCTAGTCCCTGGGAGCTAACAAAGTTGCAAGCTAATAATGAAGATCAGAGCATCTGTACCTACTCTCTGGACACACCATGTTTTTCTTTCTCTGTCTCTGAATCTTTCTAATGAAAACATGACATGATTGAATCAAATTTGGTAGTGAAACTAAACAATAGAGAGGTTGCAAGCAGCTAAGAAAGAGACAGCGTATGTGTGTAACGGATGTCTGTCTAACTGGATGCTAAAAAAACACAACTTAATGAGGCTAAGTAAGCCACATGAGCTATTTCAGTGTGTATCTAATGGATTTTTAAAGGTGCAAACATGTATAATGATAATTTAAGTGGTCTGTAAGAAAAGCTGTTGGTTTTCATCTCCTCTGCTCTATCTAATAATGCTGTCTCAATTCATTTGCTGTAGAGAAGCGGTCCAAAAAGAGGTATTATGAGGAGGATGATGATGAAGATGAGGTGGCAGGCAATGACTCTCAGGAGGCCGTTCCTGCTGCTGCAGGAAAACAGGTGGACGAATCCAGCATAAAGCTGGATGAGTATGGAGCCAAAGACTACCGCCTTCAGATGCTACTGAAGAATGACCACTCCTCACGCCCGCTCTGGGTGGTAAGTTTTAATCTGATATACAAGAGAATACTAATGACCACACTTTTTCCCTCCCCTGGTTTTTACACAGTGTTTGCGGAAGAGAGACAATGCATTTGTGTTCTCATTCTCCTGCAGGCACCAGACGGACACATCTTTTTGGAGGCCTTCTCACCCGTGTATAAGTACGCCCAAGATTTTTTAGTGGCCATCGCAGAGCCCGTGTGCAGGCCCAACCACATCCACGAGTACAAGCTGACTGCGTATTCCCTGTATGCGGCCGTCAGCGTGGGACTGCAGACTTCTGATATTGTGGAGTACCTTCAAAAACTCAGCAAGACATCAGTACCGGATGGAATTGTGCAGTTTATCAAGGTATCACTGGAATATCATTTGGTGCGTGTATTGTTTCGACATCTTGAGAAGACTGTGTTAAATCCCTCTTTCTCTCTCAGCTCTGCACCGTGAGCTATGGCAAAGTCAAACTGGTGCTCAAACACAATAGGTAAAGCCGTTTTCAAAGGCTCATCGGCCCAGTTTTCCGTCACTAGTCGCTTCATTCACCCTCCTCTACCCGTCGTCCACTCACAGGTACTTTGTGGAGAGCGCCTTCCCGGACGTGATCCAGCGCCTTTTGCAGGACAACGTGATCCGTGAATGCCGCCTCCGCTCCGCAGACGGAGCAGAAACTGAGCTTATCACTGAAGTCATCCACAGCAAGTCGGCGGTATGCCTACCAGCATCCTATTGTTTTGCTTAATTTTTTTCTTTACTCACAACAATGTGTAAAATAGTTTACAATTGTTGCTTGCATCTTAGCCAAACTTTGAATTAGACATTATATGAAGTACAAGAGTACAAAAAGTTGCATCGCCCGTCTGGATGGGGCTCACCATTATTCCCCATGTTGGCAGATTTCCAAGTCTCTTCAGGAGAAAGGAAGTACTTCCACATCACAGCAGCCAAGCGAAGGACAAACGTCAACCCAGCAGGTGCCTGAGGACATATTCAGCTATTATGAGCAGATGGATAAAGAAGAGGAAGAGGAGGAGGAGACTCAGACTGTTTCCTTTGAAATCCGTCAGGTACAAATGGAAAATCTTGGTGTTCAGCTTGAATCCATACTAGTATGTCATTGGTGTTTCATTAAAATTGAGACGCCGTGCCTGGAGGAGGAAATCTTTCTGCTTCTGCTTCCTGTTCTGAGTTCTTCCTCTCCGTTGTCCGCCTTGTCTGGTGTAGGAAATGATTGAGGAGCTACAAAAGCGTTGCATTCAGCTGGAATACCCCCTCCTGGCAGAGTATGACTTTCGCAATGACACAGTCAACCCAGACATCAACATAGACCTGAAGCCCACCGCTGTGCTTCGACCCTACCAGGAGAAGAGTCTGCGCAAGATGTTCGGAAATGGACGTGCGCGCTCGGGCGTCATCGTGCTGCCCTGCGGTGAGACGCCTGAACACAAATGGAGAGCTTTTATGTTTGAAAACAGACCTGAAATGGCACAGAAGCAGAATATAGATTGTAAATATGGACCATGAAACAGTGAAGATGTTGATAATTGGTCGGTCTGACTATATAAGGGTTTACTGTCCTCCGGACACACCTGTTCAAATGTCTCACTTGTCTCGCCATCTTGGAATTTGCAGGAGCGGGAAAGTCTCTGGTGGGTGTGACAGCGGCGTGCACGGTGCGCAAACGCGTCCTGGTGTTGGGCAACTCCTCGGTGTCAGTGGAGCAGTGGAAGGCCCAGTTCAAGATGTGGTCCACCATCGACGACTCTCAGATCTGCCGCTTCACCTCTGATGCCAAGGACAAGCCCATCGGCTGCTCCATAGCCATCAGCACCTACTCCATGCTGGGCCACACCACCAAGCGCTCCTGGGAGGCTGAGCGGGTCATGGAGTGGATGCGGAGCCAGGAGTGGGGGCTCATTATCCTGGACGAGGTGCACACCATCCCCGGTGAGTTCCCTCCACGCAGCTTCAGAAAACTCTGCGCTTTGGTTTTCCCTCGCTGTATCTTTTTTTTTTCTTGCATCGGGATGTGGAAACGCTAAACTTGGCGGGTCTGGTTCCTCCGCAGCAAAAATGTTCCGCCGCGTTCTGACCATCGTCCAGGCCCACTGCAAACTGGGCCTCACCGCCACGCTGGTCAGGGAAGACGACAAGATTGTGGACCTCAACTTCCTCATCGGGCCCAAGCTGTACGAGGCTAACTGGATGGAGCTGCAGAACAACGGTTACATCGCCAAAGTCCAGTGCGCAGAGGTACGACCAGTAACCCAAAAAAGAACAAAATTTCATTTTAACGTTGGATTTTGTGAAGTAAAGCGCTCTGCGTGCCTTTACCATGTAAGGAATATTCTACCACAGCAGATGTGGAGTGGATTTATGGCACTCGCTAATGTCCCCACATCTGCGCTTCAGGTGTGGTGCCCGATGTCCCCGGAGTTTTACAGAGAGTATGTGGCCATCAAGACCAAGAAGCGCATCCTGCTGTACACCATGAATCCCAACAAGTTCCGCGCTTGCCAGTTTCTCATTCGCTTCCACGAGCGGCGGAATGACAAGATCATCGTCTTTGCCGACAACGTATTCGCCTTGAAGGAATTTGCCATTCGCCTCAACAAGTGAGTCCTTCCCAAACGGCTCGCCGAAGGTTTCGATTAGTGTTCTGATCAAGGAATATGTCCTCATGATTTTATCATTCCCCCTGCACAGGCCTTACATCTACGGCCCCACCTCTCAGGGAGAGCGAATGCAGATTCTACAGAATTTCAAACACAACCCCAAGATCAACACCATTTTCATTTCCAAGGTAAACCAGCGTGTCTGAAAGGGATTTACCGCGTGTATGCACAGTGTAATTTGGGTAAAATTGAAAAGAACTGAAATTTTGAAAAAAAACTGCCTGCATTTAATGTGTTCTTTTGCAAGTTTAATTGCAGGTGTGTCTGTCTGAATGATCATCTTCTCAAAATCTTCCCTTTTTACTTTTTCTTTTGTAGTTTTTTAATCCTCTTTCAAATGGTTCCTGTTAATCTGATGTATCTGCTGCTCTTCTAATGGACCTGTCTGAAGCCCTCTATTGATAATTACAGTAACTGCCAGATTAATCACATGTAGTGGAATCAAGCAGTTATTTTGTCTGATCTGATTATATAAAACATATCATCTGAGGTGCAAAATATTTAGTTTTATTGTTCAGTCTGCATCAGAGGAACTCGCCTATTAGTTTGATTTAAATAGGAAAAGAAAACGCATACCGGTAAAAAGTTTTTGTGGTAACATTGCATATCTGTGCATGTGCAAACAGGTTGGAGACACTTCCTTTGACTTGCCAGAAGCCAATGTTCTGATCCAGATCTCTTCCCATGGGGGGTCACGCAGACAGGAGGCCCAGAGGCTTGGAAGAGTTTTGAGGGCTAAAAAAGGTTTGTGAGTTTGCTGAAAGCCCCTTCATAGTTTCATAGTTTGCTCACGTGTAACACCCCTAACTGTGCTGACCAGTACCGTCCCAGATTAAAGCAAAAAAACAAAACAAACAACCAATCTCACTCCCCCATCCGCCCATTTAGGAATGGTGGCAGAGGAGTACAACGCATACTTCTACTCGCTGGTGTCGCAGGACACCCAGGAGATGGCGTACTCCACCAAGAGGCAGAGGTTCCTGGTGGACCAGGGATACAGCTTCAAGGTGCGCTCACTTCGGTTGCATTTTGGCACCCCTGTGCTGCACACCCACGTTGCCTCGTCTCCTCACAGAATTGCACCACGGATCTGACCTTGTTTGCGTCCTACTTTTTATTCATATGACTCTGATATCCACATTCAATCTTTAAGTGAAAAGTTAAGCATGTTTCTGGAATTTACTTTCAGTTCCCCTAGGATGAAATTTTAAGTCATAGGGCTGTGGAGTCTGTCCTCATGAGCAGATAAGGTTCTTTCTGAAAAAGTCAGTGGTAGTACCTCGTCTGTCCTAAAGGGGGCAGTGAGTTCCTGTCCAATTCTTGTTGACATTCATTCAAAAAAACTGCTAAACTGAGTACCACAACAGGTAACCGCCCCCGCTACAATTTCATATTGTGTAAAGTGTGAATTCCTCCATTTTCCATAAAAAAAATCTTCAGCATGACCACTATTAACTTTAACGTTTTTAACTCCCTTTTTAAAAATACATTCTAAAATTCTGGTTTTTCTCTGGGTTTCCCTCAGTATTGTATATAAGGGATTATCTTGTTCATACTAGGACTGGATAGATGTTATTCTATCCAACGGATTAAGTTAATTATTTAAATGAACTATTACAATTGGTAACAACACCATACATTTAGTAAAGTTATTAAGGTATTAAAAGTTATAATAAATTTTTTTCTTAATCATATCTGCAATATCCACACAGTAGAACGCCAAAATGCTTTTATTCCAGATGAGCTCCACTTAAATCGACTGACTGCGCCAGTTAATTTTATTGTCAGAAGTCAGAGAAGATGCTATCATTGTATCGAGAACAGTCAGTGTAGATAGTGCCGGGTCACAAAGCAGAAAATAGAATAGTTCCAAAACGTTTGTTCCTCCAGGGTTTTTTCTATTGCTGACGTTTTTCTAATGCCCCTCTTTGGTTCCGCTGAAAAGTTTGGTTCTCTGTAGTATTGATTAGGTCTAAAAGTGTAGGTGGATTTTCACTCTTCCGTGTCTAGTTCAGACTAGATAGTTCAGACTAGGACAAGCCTGATGTTATATATATAACGGATTTGGTTTCATCATATCCTGTCTGGCTTGTGGCAGAGGCTGTCCAACTCTGAAATCTGAGCGTAGTTCTGGCTGTAGTCAATGAGTTTTTTTGTGGAGAGAAAACAAAGAAAAAACACGAACCAGAAAAAGAATCCCTTACATAGTTGGTTTCATTTTAAGGTTTCAGGTCGCAGGACATTCTGCTGTAGATACAGGTCTGTAATTTCCATTTTAGCGGCGGGGGTCGTGCATCTGTGTGTGTTTTGCAGCCAGAGCTCTGGAAGGGGGGCTCATATTAAAAGAAGGGGTTACATTAAAGTCATTTTCACTTGAATTAGTTCCCATTTACGCATTTTTCCCCATAGCTTTTGTTCACAACAACATACACGCAGCTGCACGCTGTATATGATGCCAACAGGGGGATGACCTAATCAGTTCTGAATTTCAGTAACTGGATTTAGCGAGAAGGAAATACTTGTGATTTTACTGCATAAATCCTCTCTTAGTGCCATTAAACATCTGGCCTTGAATTGGATCTCTTTAGAGAAAATGGGGGGGGGATAAAAAGCGCGGGGTTTTCGCCTGAGGTGATAGTTCTGGTGCAACAGGAACTGCTGAGAAACGAACAGATGCCGCTACGCTGCCGCTCACGTTTACATATAGGACACAGCAGCTGTCCTGTATGAAAGCAGTGGGACACGTGACACCTTTTCACTGAGGTGTGCCCAGACGAGGCTCATCCTGCCGTAAAGAACAAAGTGAGCTGATGCTTTTTTTTTTAAGTTTAGCAAAGCCTTTGAGTTAAGAACTTAAAATAAAGACCAGGGACTCCGGCAGCTTTTTATTCCCCCCTGATAGTTGTCAGATGCCACACAGCTGTCATAAAACCCTGCGCGGCATCCAAATGTAAAGCGGCCATAAAGCAAAAAAGATGAGGGCTGCGGCTTGAAACCAAAGTGGTGAGCAATGATATCAGGCCCACGCATACCAACAACAATATCGAATATGAGTGCAGTGCTTTATAACGAGGCTGAATCACAGTTTTAGGATTTACAAACTTTGCATAGAGTTGCTTTAATGAAAAACTTGCTTTAAAATGTAAAACGTAGTATAATATAACCACAGGGACGATCTTTGAAACATTTTTTTTTTAAATCTTTTAATATTGCACAGAACAAATGGAGAGACGTATCACGAGACGCCTTGTCAGCCTCAAACTCTCTTCTGTCGCAGGTCATCACCAAGTTGGCCGGTATGGAGGAGGAGGACTTGATGTTCTCCACTAGAGATGATCAGCAGCAGCTGCTTCAGAAGGTGCTGGCCGCCTCAGACCTGGACGCCGAGGAGGAAGTGACGGTCGGCGAATTTGGGGCAAGACAACAGGTGACGGCTCTTGCCACATTCGGGAAAAAGCTGAGATGGTTTCTGACACCCGCCGGCAAATCCACACTCTGTGTTTTACGACCTGAAGTCCCGGGAAGGTTTCTACAAGCTGAAAGGCTGTATGCATTTCTCACCTTTTTTTTTATTTTATTTTTTCTCTCTGCTCTGCTCCTTTACCAGGTCTCGAGGCGAGCGGGAACTATGAGCTCCATGTCTGGAGCGGACGACACCGTCTACATGGAGTACCAGAGCCGGGCCGGAAAAGCCTCGGCCGCGGGCAAGAACGTCCACCCGCTGTTCAAGCGGTTCAGAAAGTAGAACCGCTGAACCCTGACGGCTGAAAAAACCGACTCTGTTGTAACTGGGCAAAAGGACATGGTTGTGGGGAGGGGGTTGCAGGTTCAGAGTCCACTGCATCTTGTCCGGTGAATAGAGCAACTTTTGAAGATAACCAGCGACCACGTCTGAGGGCTTCGCAAGCCAGAAAGGTCTGAATGGAGGACGAGACTGGACGGCTACTCGAGCACTGCCTCTAAGGGAAGAGCTCCGTCCTTTAGGCAAAGAGGACTGAAAACAGGATTTGTTATCTAATTATCTAATTGTACTGAGAAAATTATGTGTGTATTTTGGTTAACATAACACCTGCAATTTTCACTTAAATGTCCATTGGTTTGTCTCTAAAGAAAAGGAAACATTTTTTTTAATGTTATGTCACAGACACACCTTCCTTAAAATGTCCCTTAATCCATTTTGTAGAATAAACTGTTTAGGAAAATCCTGAGCTGTACCTCATGCAGTTTTTTGGCCTGATGGAGAGAGAATGTGCTGTATTATCCAGGACAGCCCATATCCTTTGAGAATGGCAGAAGGGAAAATGCTTGAATACAAGCCAAGAATAAAGGGGAGGGGGGTCCACTTCCCCTTGTTGATGACTTGAAAGATATTCCAGCAAGAAAACCGAGAGCCTTGTGCAACCTTGAGGGGGCGAGTGTGGGAAAATAAGCACCTCTGCCCAGCCACCCATTGCTTCACATTTCCCCGCGAATGGCCTCATCTGTGGCCCACCGGGTAATCACTTTAAGCTTCAAGATTTGGAAAAACAAGGAAGAGCGGCCGAAGTGGATTTGAATTCACGTGTCTTTTAATTAACAAACAGGATGGTCCGTCTTACTATCTGCTAATTTATACCCTGATGAAGCGATAAGCAGCCCGAGCAAACGCCTCAGCTCTGCTTTTAATTGCGTCTAAAAAAGGAAAAGACAATTAGTTGAGAGCAGTAACAGCTTTAGATTTCCATCAACCACTTAAAGGAGTGGTCTAGCATCATCTTTAAGTTCATCTTGAGTTCCAGTTTCATAAGTTTGTGTATCCTCTCTGTAAGATTTGTAGACATTTCTTTGGATTATGTGAGCTGCCAAACATACCACTTGTCTTTTGCAGATGTTTAATTACGCGTCAGGGGAGGAGGTAAATATTGGACCTTTAGGTCTCATAACTGCGAGCTTCTGCAGTCCATCTGCACAGACTGTATACAAAGTGTCAGGATTTTCTTAAAGACTAACTTGAACTCTTACATGAGCGTGTTTGTGAACGCCTCTCGTCCTTACATGAGCTGTGGGTGTGTTTGTCCTCCTTTTGCTGCATTCTCCGAGTGATTCGACCTCATCTGACGTTTGTCACCGGGTTCGTCTCTGTCTTTTGGGGACGGGGGGGGGGGGGGGGGTGTGCGCGTGCACGCAAGTTGCTTGATTGATTGATGTGATGTAACTTGGTTTTCGCACGTTGTACTGCGCCCACTTTCCCAATGAAAACACGGACTCAACAGTTTTGGGGGAAACGCCCACACCCGAATAAAGCATTCATCCCTCCCTTCTTTAGAAGCGGCCATCCAATCCTCATCCTCCGGGGTTTGCACAAGCCAGTATTTAAAAGGGGGTATATAATTTTAAGTCCGTCTGCGTTTACACGTGCCAGATTGGCGAGTATATAGATGTGATCACTGCACATGCAGACAGTACGGGGCTTTTAATTGCACATCCTCCGCACTCACCGAAATCACCGAGAAGCATCCCAATCATGGCTTTTGCGGACCGCTTTACGAAAACATGCTGGAAGAAGTTTCACGCCGACCGATGGAACAACCAGCTGTTCTACGTTTTACGCGCCTTACACAAGTCTGCAGCCAGCAAGGCTTTGGAGATCCCCGCACCCGGAGAGGAGGCGGTATCAGACAGAATGATCACACCGGCCGATGTCGGTGAGAAAACGAGAATTAAGACCCTCAAAGAGATGCCGGGGCCCAGCACCCTTTCCAACTTGATCGAGTTCTTTTGGAGAGACGGCTTCAGCAGGATCCACGAGATTCAGGTAACAATGTCTCCAGATGCTCCAGTGTTGCTGATCCCTTTTTTCGTTACTTCAGAGTTATCTAACCTTTTTCTCATATAAAAAGACCAAAGTGTTCACAGAACGTGCCAATTTTGCCAACTTTGCGGAAAAGTGCACAATGTTGCGTAAAAGCGCACGAGTGGTTCGACTCATGCTCGACGTTAGTCAGCCATGCAGGGGTTTTGTAATGGGAAGCAGACAGGAAGCGCAGACAGGGTTTTCCTCATCACATGCAAAAAGAAACAACAAAAGCCCCTTTTCCTCAAAATAGGACATGTGCATATGAACAAATACTCCCTTCATTGGCCATTTATAAAAGTACTATTCTTTACTTATACACGTTAATTACTGGTTCTGATGTATCAACACTGGTTTTTGTCTTCACAGCACAGATTCTAGATATGACACATTTTTTGCCAAGGATTTATGAAAAATAATCTGCCTTTATGTGACGTGGCCTTTGTTCTTCTCATTTTTTCCAGATGGATCACAGGAAGAAATTTGGGAAAATCTTCAAGTCTCGCTTTGGGCCCCAGCTGGTGGTGTCTGTTGCTGATCGTGACCTGGTGGCCGAGGTACTCCGGGCCGAGGGTGTGGCACCCCAGAGGGCTAATATGGATTCCTGGAAGGAGTACAGGGACATGAGAGGCCGTTCCACGGGCCTGATCTCAGCGTGAGACCTTACTCTGATCTTTAAATCCTGAGAAACTGACATAATACCTTGATTAGTGCAAATGGTATTATCATGCCTGTGTCCAAGTTTGCCTTTGCGCTACACAATAGTGTTTTCTGCCAAATTTCAAGGATTAGATCCTCCGCTGTGTGTACTTTGAATTAGTCCAAATGTGTTACACTTGCAACAACTAAAACAACTAGGATTTAATGTTATCAACATGGTGAACTAATTTCTCAAGAAACTAGTTTCCAGTCTTGATTTACCTGGTAAAAACAATACAAAGGACTGCTAAATGAGTTTTTTTTTCTCCTGTTTTCCAGTGAGGGAGATGACTGGCTCAAGATGCGAAGTGTACTGAGACAACTTATCATGCGTCCCCGTGATGTCGCCGTCTTCTCTGATGATGTCAACAAAGTTGTAGACGATCTGATCAACAGGGTGTATAGCCTGCGTGCCCAGCAGTCGGATGGAGCCACTGTACTGAATGTGAATGATCTCTTCTTTAAATACGCCATGGAAGGTTGGTCGAGATCCCTCGGTTTATGTATGTGTTGGCATATTAAAAAAACGATAACAAAAAAAAACTGAGACAATTTAAGTGTTTAAAAAGACAAAACAGAGAAAAAAGATGCATTTGCCATAGTCATCTCTCTAATCTTAGATCTGGAATGCTGAAGGCCTAATGTACACTTTGCAAACTTTCATGAAAAAAAACAAACATTAAATGTTTTGAAATGAGTGAGTCAGGAATTCTTTCCGCAGCTTCCAACCCGTGTTCATCTTTGTTCTCACAGGTGTGGCTGCTATTTTGTACGAGTGCAGACTAGGATGTCTGGAAGAGAATATTCCCCAAAAAACCAAAGAATACATCTCTGCCCTGAACCTCATGTTCAGTTCCTTTAAAATGACGATGTATGCCGGAGCTATCCCCAAATGGCTCCGACCTGTGATTCCCAAACCATGGGAGGAGTTCTGTCTCTCCTGGGATGGCCTCTTCAAATTCAGTAAGTGGTTTACAACTTGTAATCCGTTTTTGAGGGATCCAAGCCTTAGTTTGTTTTACTGCGATATATTTATTAACACCAGTGACAGACACCAGTGAAGTGTTGTCATACTGAAGTTTAACAGTTCAATGCATCTTCAAAAGATAAATAGCAAAAGAATACTTAGTTAAAAGGGCCATCTTTAACCTTATCAAGGCTCCAAAAAATTCTATACAATATCTCATTTCCTAATTCACACAAATGCTCTTGAAATGCTTCTCGTTTAACTAAAAGTTGCACTATAAGCAGAGCTTTTCATACATCTATTTTTTGCTGTTGTCTCACATAACAAAGAAGACAGGGAGGGGAGTGTTATGGATTATACTGCAACTGTTGATAGACATTTCTAGCATTTTCCAGAATCCCTAAACCATACGAGTACTTGAAACAATAGATTTTTTTTTTAATTAAATAAATAAACAGAAAGGAAGGTTGATTAGCATATAAATCTCTGCTTCTCTGACATGGTTTTGAGTCTATCTATTTGCATAACATGGACTCTCCTTTGTTTTTCTTTTCCTTTTATTCCCCGCTACCACCACTCTTGTGTCCACTTTCTTTTTCACCTCATCTCACCTTCTATCCATCTAATCCCAGGCATCATTCACGTTGATAAGAGGTTCACAGAGATAAAGGCCCAGCTGCAGCGGGGAGAGGAGGTGAAGGGGGGTGCCCTCACACACATGCTCATTAATAAGGAAATGAGCTTGGAGGAGATCTATGCCAATGTAACAGAGATGCTCCTGGCCGGGGTTGACACGGTGCGTATGCAAATGCACTTACGCAGAGAGGGGATTAAAGTGTGGGGAGTTCCAGTAATTGTTGTGGTTTCGGGAGTTGGACGGGTTCACACGTGTGTTTGAGTCTGTCAGTGTTTGCTCTCCGGAGTTGGATTTCTGGCGCCACATCTGTGCCTGTGTAGCTGTGCCAGCGTCGGGTCAGAGCTTTGAATTGGGAGGTTACACAGTATCCCACTGACAAACTTGTTCTCACTCTGATTTAGTTTCTTGTCATTTGTCTCTGTCTGCTAGATCTACACAGGGGGCCCTTTGTCCTCCTTTTTTTTCTCCCCACTATGCCAGACATCTGTGTTATGTGTTACATTTCCACCCTAGAGCTTAATTGGACACACAGTTTTTACTTGGTGGTAATTAAGGCTGTTGGTTTGATAAAGGTTACAGGTTTGATGTCGGCGGTGAACCATAATTTGAGGAAGAACAATTTTTTCCTTTTATGATATATCAAATTATACATAAGTAGTGGAGGGGCTTATGGGCGGTGACGTTGAAATTTGATCTTGTGTCAGTTTTTGGTGTTACTTGATGGCATATTTATACCCAGCTTGCCATCAAATTTCTCCCTCAACACATTCAAAGGGAGAGCAAAAGTGTTCGGTATTGAATGGATTCCTTTGTTTTGTCATTCACGGTACCCAAGTTGGAACAATGGAGTGTTTTTATTTTATTTTACCAAAGTGATGCACTCTCACATGTTCAGTTAGCGCCTAATTTGTTTGGGTGACTGTCAGATTAATGAGAATTAGGGGGGGGTAGAGTGTTTTGGGCTAAGCTTGGAACATGGGATAAAAGGATGCATGTGTTTTGGTTGAACTCGTTGAATTGGCCATGTACTGGTGGGGGATGAGCTAAGTTGTGGCATTACCTGACCCTGGGGTGCAGCTGCCATTACTCGGCACACACAAGAGCTGTCAGGGTACGTTAGCCGCAGACAGAGTTATGGCAGAGTCAGGGCAGAGGTGAGGTGATGGAAGGGGCTGGTTATGGGAAGGGAACTGGGAATGGACTTAATTAGAACTAAGGAATTATGAGAGAAATGCATGGTTGAAGATGGAGAAGAAAAGCCCAAGCTTTTGGAAACCAGGCTTTGATCAACTTTCTCTTATGATTGGCCTGTGAGGCACTACTAACATCTCTGCCAGCTGGTGGAGATTAGGAGCAAGTAATCTTGGACCTCTAATTGTGAATTTTTACGCTGGATGCTTTTCTTGTTTTATCATTCATCTACCTAAAGACACTGACCTAGTGCTTTCCTCTGACGTTCTTTTGTGCTCAATATCTGCACAAAATATCTAAACAAGGCTGCCCTTCCGACATCTGCGTACGTTATAAAATTGCAAATGGAAAGTAAGTGGGATGGAAAGATAGATTTCAGGAAAAGATGTAGATGTGGGAAGAGGAAGCGCAGGGCTGATGGCATCTGCAAACGACATGGGAGAGGATGTGAAAAGAATTTCCATATCATTTGGTCCACCCACCTCCATTCAAATGTAAATGTCAGTGTTAAAGCTCACCTGGAGCTGGGTCAGACGAGGCGATGGAGATCAGACGGTGTCGTATGACAACACAACATCATTAACAGGTTTATGTGGGGTGGATAAGCCCTTTAATGCGATTGCTACAAATGGGATTGGATTCTCGTTTAAGGTTATTTTCAGTTTTCTAATTAATTTGGCCAGAGTGCCTTACTGGAACACAAATAGTGTGATGGACACACTAGTGCAGTGAAACAAAGTGTAAATAGGTGACTAATGTAAGATGAAGGATAGGATCTGAACGCAGCTTATGTGCAGGGGAGGGTCTGCTCAGCATGTGGAATTAGCCTCCTCTCCCTTAAAGCCCCTCTCTGTCTCTTGCACAACACTATAGAACTTCTCATATTGGTTAGAATCCAGCCTCAAGTGGAAAACGGCAACATTTGAATGAGGGGTTTAATAGTAGAGCACATAAAGAATGTATTTTCTGCCCAGTCTAATCTTTGTCTTATTTATGCTTCACATTGTCGTTGTAGACATCCTTCACCTTGTCTTGGGCAAGCTATCTGTTGGCAAAACATCCTCACATACAGCAGCAAATCTATTCAGAAGTAGCCCAGACTCTGGGGCCTGGGACGGTCCCCACGGCCGACGATATCACAAACATGCCTCTTATCAGAGGGCTTGTCAAAGAGACTCTCAGGTATGTTTCTCGTAGATTTGATACTTTTCTAGCATGTTCTCTTTTAAACTTCGCAAAGATTCTGCAGTAGCCCGAAGCACTTTGAAAACAAGTGTTTTCCTTGTTTAGTATGCTCACATGAATATCTTTAATCTGGCTGTAGTCCTTCTGTGTTTTCTTTCGTTCTGTAGTCTTTGAAAAAGTCCTTTTGAAAAGGCTTGCATGCCATATAGTGCTTCTGAATAACAGTCTTTATGTGTCCCGCAGGCTTTTTCCAGTTCTCCCGGGCAACGGACGGATTACCCAAGATGACTTGGTGGTTGGTGGATACTTCATTCCAAAGGGGGTAAGACACTTCTGAAGTGTGTATACATTGGAGGAGGGGAAAAAAAGGGCTTGTAGGTAGTCAGCCAAAAATATTCTGGAACCATATATAACACAATGCTCCGAAACTCACACATCTCTGTTTGTCTTTCGTGTATGCACGACTGTGCAATAGCCCAGCTATGTCACATTGCATAACAGGGTTTCTTTTTTTTTTCATTTTGTTAGACTCAGTTGGCTCTGTGTCACTATTCCACATCTCTGGAAGAGGAGAACTTTGCGGACGCTACAGACTTCCGGCCAGACCGCTGGGTGCGAAAAGATGTCACAGATCGCGTCGACAACTTTGGCTCGATTCCCTTCGGCTACGGCATTAGGAGCTGCATTGGCAGGAGAATCGCAGAGTTGGAGATGCATCTTGCTCTCACAAGGGTATGTAACTAATGGGCAAACACTCTCCCTGAACTTTTTCCCTCTTTCTTTATAGTTTTTAAGATTTTTCACTACTTTGATCTGAAAGAAGCTAATTGTTCACCACTTTTCATAAAGCCAGATGTTGAAAAGTGCCAACGAACAAAACATCTGTTTATTTAGTGCAGTCAGCATATTTAAAAAAAAAATTTGTCATGCATGACAACTAAAAAACATCCCAAAATTGAGCAAAACCAAAAGGTTGTTTGAAGTGTAGTGGGTATTTTGACGTCATCTGAGTTAATGATTACCATCAGACTTTAAGAATTTTTCAGGATGAAAAACAAAATATGATTCTTTACTGACATATTGCCTTTTCTCACACTCAGAATTTGAAACTTAATACTGCCTGCACGCTAAATGAAATAAAAGCAGAACTTCAGTATTCCTCAACACTTTCTCAACTTCCTTAAAAAGAGTTTAATCCCTTCCTAGATTTCTCACTTTCCACTTCTGCAAAATTACACAACTCTGACAGTCCCCATTTTATTCTCTTGTTGGCTAATTTCAATGACCAAATGAATAAAAAAACAAGATTAAAATTGTTAATCTTTTTTTTTTTTTTTGTGTTCCGTGTGTAGCTCATTCAAAAGTTCCACATCCGCATGTCTCCTCTCACTACCGACGTCCAGGCCAAAACCCACGGGCTGCTCTGCCCTGCTGAGCCCATCAACCTGCAGTTCATCGAGAGGGAAAAGTAGACCCAGGCTTTTCCCCAAATGGTCAACTTCACCAGATGTATCTAAAGGCTCTGATTCATTATCAAAGGCACTGAAATACACTGCTTTTAGATCATTTTCAATAGTTTTATCTTAGATACTGAGGTTTTACTCGGGTAAAAAATGTCTGTGGTGCTTGATAAGAGACACAACTATGTGTAAATAGTATAAGCTGTAAACACTGAATGTATAGTATTTGAACTTAGAACCACTGTAGTTCATTTTCCATTATTCCCTCCATTTATCCTATTCAAAATGGTGACTGGAATTATGAACTAGTCTCTATTACTTTTACTCTCTTATTATATCAGTATGCATAAAAATATATCACAATGTGTGCACATGATTCTTTCAAGCTTCAAGAAAGCAATTTACTGAAATGCTGAGGGGCAGCTATGAATGTACTAAAAATTAGTTGTCATGAGTTGTTACAAACCAAAATATTCAAAGATTTTGATTTTTTTCATGTCTTTGTTTAGAAAAAGAGGCATTCCAAGTTTTTTTTTATTGTATTGTATGAGCTGTATCCCCTAACTAAACTTAGCTGAAGGAGTCTTTTTAGATGAGAGATGAAAAATCCAGTTGCCTTTTTTCAGACTCTTGGGATCATACTCAAAACATTGAATACAAATATCTTTCTCCGCAACTGAATTAATGACTGTTACAATATTTTTGTGTACACGTATTTTACTAAAAATATGTTTTACCTTTTTTTTGTTGACATACATTTGATCATAGTGGGGATAAGAAATGATTGTTATTATATGATATTGTTCGAACAGATTTGAATGAATCAAAAGGTACATTCTGATAAGCTATGATACATGTTTTTATTAAACACAATATGTGTAGATAATGAAGTGTCTGAGGCTAACGTGCAGCTTGTGGGAGTTTATTCTACAGTCATGTTGGCATTTTCAGAAGGGAAAAGCATGTCAGAATAGTTTGTTACAAAGGGATAAGACAAGTTGCTTGAAGGGTCACACTGACAGATATGAAGTTACATTGGAATATATGTATACATTTCCAGATTGATATATTATCTGTATTTACATTTTTGTAGTTCCAGTGAAACTGAGAAACAATAAAATGGTTATACTATTTTAATAGTTGTGTTCTGTCCTTCCTGAAGATCCTAAATGCACAATCAGTTCATCAGTGACGACTGTTGTCAAGTGGGTGTTCTTTTTCCAGATTTTCATTCTGGCTTGCTCAAAGACCTGTAGCATTGCTCAGTTAAGTTTTGTTAATCCTCAACCAAAGCTGCTGATTTAAGAACAAGACTTACAGAATTAAGAAATCTGATATAATACGTTAAACAAATACAAGAAACAATTGGAAACTAACACCAGCCACAATTAATATCTATATGATCTGTGATTGTTTGAAATCCCCAGTATATCTGTCCTCAGTGTTGAATGGTGAGTATGAATGTAAATAGCCACAGAGTCTTTCCAATAAATCAACCAAAAAATTAATACACGGGGTATCCAAGCATTACTTTAATCTAAATTAAAGAGCCCACAAACCATGCCCCACAAGCCAATTTTTTCAGATATCTAAAAGAGACATAGACAAAATACAATGTTGGTGGTGTTTTGGTAATTTCATACCTGTGCTATTTTGTTATTTTATATTATGTTTATGTTTATGTTTATGCATTTGGCAGACGCTTTTATCCAAAGCGACTTACAGAGTAGACACAATATTACATTTCTCATCACAATGACAATAAACTTTATAGAACAGAAACACTGATCAGAGTCAGTGGTGAGATAGAGATAGAGGTAGAGGGGCTACAGAAGGAGCTGTGGGGGGGGTAGAGGTACGGGTTAGGGTTAGGATAGGAGATGCTCTTTGAAGAGGTGGGTCTTCAAGAGTTTCTTGAAAACAGACAGGGACTCTGCTGTTCTTGTGGAGCTTGGTAGGTCGTTCCACCATCTTGGAACGACACATGCAAACAGTCTGGATTGTCTTAAGCGTGGTGAAGGCACTGCTAGACGACAATCCATTGATGACCGGAGTGATCGAGTTGTGACATAAGCCTTTGCAAGGGGATTCAAGTAGATGGGAGCCATACCCTTAAGCACTTTGTAGGCTAGCATCAGGGACTTGAATTTGATACGGGCAGCCAGAGGTAACCAGTGGAGTTCAATGAACAGAGGGGTGACGTGAGATTTTTTGGGCAGATTGAAGACCAGACGCGCCGCCGCGTTCTGGATAAAATATTAGATAAAATGTAACTTTCTATCTACTTATTTCAAACAAAATGCTATTAAAATATTCTTTAATGGCTCCATTGCAGCAGTTTGGTAATTCTATTAACTTCTCATTCTGACAGAAAAAAGTGTTTAACCTCGTTGCGCTTGGAGCTGACGCAGACAAATATCCATCTCGCGATTTTTCCAGAACGTTTGGAGCGAGAACACAAGCGGAAGTAAATACTCATGGCATAGTTACTAGTGAAAGGGGATGAAGTAGCATAAAAAACGTGGATGCTACTTAGTTTTAAATAGTTAAAATAAGTCACAAATTCCCGAGTCAGTCATTTCATCTACAGAAAATAACAGGAGCGCATCTTATTCGTTTGGAGAATAAATGCAACCGAGGGTCGTTGAATCGAGTACCACGCTTAAGGCCTGGAAAGACGAGTGCTAAGCTAATCAGCGCTAACGCGGAGGTTTAGCAAACGGCGTTTATTAGCAGTGCAGCAAGGCAGGGGCTGCTGAAGCGGCTAGTCTGTGCAGCAGATGTCTGTTTTCATTTGATGTAAAGAGATAGATAGCATCGACACAGAAAGCCAAAACTCTGGCTGCAGTGGAGGGAAGTTCGGCTGGATTTAAGATGATCATTGAAAACCTTGATGCTTTGAAAACATGGCTGTCTGAAACCCTCGAGCCTATGTAAGTACAGTTAGCATTAGCCACGCAGATGTCCCCCCTACACAGTTTGAAGCGTTGTTGTCGATGGATGTAAACTCATTTTTAACTATGTGGATGTTTGTGATTCCTTATTTTATTCAGTTGTGATGCAGATCCCTCCGCTCTTGCCAAGTATGTAGTTGCCCTGGTGAAGAAGGACAAAACTGAAAAGGAACTTAAAGCTCTGTGTATAGACCAGTTAGATGTATTCCTCCAAAAAGGTAAATCTCAAAGCTTCACTCTGCAGATCTCACTTCATGCTCTCTGACATACTGTGTGGCGTCATTCATTCCTGGATCAAACATTACTTTATCTCACTGTTACTTTCTTGTAGAGACCCAGGCCTTTGTGGACAAGCTGTTTGAAGCCATTAACAAAAAATGCTACCTCCCTCAGCCGGAACAACCATCCCCAGTTGTCAAAACTGAAAAGGAAGACCCGAAGAAAGATGAGGTTATTTTCTTTCCCAATACTTGCACACTTATCAAGCACAGGGCCCCCAAACAATGTTAAAGCCTCAGCACATTGCTCATGTATTTAATTTCCAACAATCCAAAACGTGCAGATCATAAAGCTACAGGCAGTGCTTTGAAATCTTGAAAGCACAGTTAATTCAGTGAGTAGCTTATTTGTTGCTATGTAAGAAAAATGTGTTGTATGATGTGACCTTCGCCCGCATCCCTGTTTATATACTACCTTAAATATAATCCCATCATGTGGGAAACATTGAAACCACGAGATGAGAGAAAGCCCAACACAGGTCTAACTTCCTCTTTACAGAGTTCCTTACTATCTGTAACAACCAACACCTCAAATCGGTTTACAACGAATCCTTGAAATTCTTTTTGAAATAACTAAAACATAACGTCCAATGTAAACACACAGTTTCAGATTTGAAATGATTTGTCAGTGTTGATGTGTTTCATACCATGTTATATCTGTCTTGTTTTTCTTTTAAATGAATGAATATACATTTTTCTATGACAACTCTTTCACCTGTGTTGGTGCTTACCTGCTACTTGCTGGCGTTGCTACCACTAAGCCTGATTATCTCAGCTGCAAACACGTACTAGCACCTGCCTTTATAGGGCAGCCACTAGGGACACTTCTGCCATACAACACTAACATCCACATTTTATGGCTAGTCACTGATTCATTAGGTTTGGTTAAAAAGTTTCCTCCCACTAAGGCTTCAGTATCTAAATAAACATCCCCACCAGTAAACTAAGGTCTGTATTATGTTCAATGTTGCATGAGTCTGAACATTTATATCCCTTTTTTTGTTTTCGTTTCAATACAGCCAAATCGGGAAGAAGATCGAGACAAGAAGTTTTCCCGACGTCTGACTCACAGCCCACCACAGTCAAGCTCTCGCTACAGTAGAGATGGCAGGTATGGACACTTTCCTTTTACCAATTTTATAATCAAGTGCTCCCTCTTCAAAGTAATGCTTGTACTTTACATATATCTTGTTTGTTTGTTTGTTTTTTTGTCGTGGGGGGATAAGGAGAGGAGATGACCGTAAAAGAGACGACCGCTCCAGAAAGAGGGACTATGATCGCAATCCTCCCAGGAGGGACTCGTACCGCGACCGCTACAATCGCAGGAGGGGCCGCAGCTACAGCCGCAGCCGGAGCCGGAGTTGGAGCAAGGACCGCGCTCGAGACCGCGACAGAGAGAGGGACCGAGACAGGGAGAGAGACAGAGACCGGGACAGAGATCGCACCAGGAGCAGGTCCCGCAGCAGATCTTGCTCCCGGACCAGGAGTCGAGGTATCAGCCGGCTAAACACAGTCTTTAACCCTTTCATGCATGGTGGTCACTGCAGTTGATTGTTATTCATAAGCCTTTTTTAATGTATTTTTAGGTTTTTATGTCTTAAATGAGCATAGGCCACTGTAGTGGACACTGACGCATTATGCAATAAAAAAATAAAAAAACATCAACAATAATATCCTGTTAAAGAGGAGCTGAGATAGACTAACATAAATCAAGGGGTTGAATGAGCGAGGGTGAGGAAAGAGATGGGATAGTAGAGAAATTATAACAGGATGAGAGTTGCAAAGTTCTGTTTATGCATTCTGTTAATAAATCAATAATATGTTCACATTGGTACATCCAGTATTTCATTAGTAAGAAATCATAAAACCCATGCTCTCCACCTGAGTGGGCATCTTGAAAAATCCTTCAATAAACATATTTTCGACCAAAAAAAACGCAAACTTAAAAAAAAATGCTAATAAGAAAACCACTTTTGGGAAAAAAAATCCAGATTTAAATGCTCATAATTCATGCACGAGAGGGTTAAACACCAAACATTTTCCCAAGTAAGAGCAGGAGAAAAGGTCGACTTCTCTTTGAATAACCATACACATCGCACCAGAGCCAAAGCTGATATGTCACTGGTATTTTCCTCTTCTTAGACCAAGACCCGGGAAAACTGAAGTACGACCACGACAGAGGGGACCGGTCAGAGAGCGGGGACATTTACGCCCCGGCCGGCCTCGTCTCCACTGCGGCCACTTCCCACTTCCCTGTGCCAACTCTGAGCAGCACCATCACGGTCATCGCCCCCACACATCACCACAGCAACAACACCACCGAGAGCTGGTCAGACTTCCGGCCCGACCACCCCGTGGACGGAGGCCCATTCAGCAGAGGCCCGCCGCCTCAGCAGAGGAAGCGTTGCCGTGATTACGATGGTGAGAAAAGCTGCTGACCCTCTTCTCGGCGCGGAGTTTGTGAGCTTTGGCTGGTGGCGGCGCGTCTGACGCTCCTCTTGTGTTTTCTAGAGAAAGGATTCTGCATGCGGGGGGACTTGTGTCCTTTCGATCACGGGAGCGATCCGGTCGTAGTGGAGGACGTCAGCCTGCCCAACATGTTGCCCTTTCAGCCTCCACCCATCCCGGGAGTGGAGCCTCCGCCTCCACCCGGCCTCCCCCCACCACCAGCTCTTATGAACCCCCCACCCGTGAACCTCCGCCCCCCCGTCCCACCACCTGGTGCCCTCCCGCCCAGCCTTCCGCCTGTCGGAGGTAGGAATGTGCTTTCTGATTAAACATTTTTGGTTCAGAACTGTGAAGCTCTCAGGTTACGGAAAAATGAAGTTTTTTTTTTGTTGTTCTTTGGCTCCCCCTACAGTTGGGGAATGTCACTCATGACAACAAATGTTCAAAAGCTTTATGTCTCTCTGTGCCTTCAAGTTATTAATCAAATGGGATTAAATTCTTAGCGGATCCATCTATCAGAAGGGATCAGGTCATATGTTATGTAGAAGTAGATGACATGCTACCTCTCGTAAATTCCCAGTCAGCTAACATCTTGTATCTGAGTGTTTACTCTGCCAGCTACTTTATATGGAATCAAAGGGAATTTTCCTGTTCTTAGGAAATATGTCCAGATTAAAAGGTAATGAACAGAAAAGCAAGAGTACTGATCAAATCTGATGGTTTGCTTTGTCCTAACTTATTGCTCCATAAGATTTTTGTACTGAGTTTTGGCTTTTGTGGAACAGGTCCTCCTCCCCCGCTTCCTCCATTACAACCCGCAGGCATGGACGGACCCCCCAACTCCATCACCAGCTCTGTTCCCACCATCGTCACCTCCGGGATGCGTCCCTCACTTCCCCAAGTCTCAGGGCCGCTCTTCAGCTCAGGTAATGGCTCACTTTGTCCAAAAATAAGGGAAAATTTCCTTTTGTAGGTATCAGAGCTCGTCCAGCTGTATTTAAGTGTTTTGATCTATATTGACCAGACCACTATGACACAGATGTGTACAATCCCGAGGCTCCTAGTATCACCAACACTTCCAGGCCCATCTATCGCCACCGGGTCAATGCCCAGAGACCCAACCTGATTGGCCTCACAATGGGGGAGGTTGACCAGCCACAAAGAGGTGTAGTTTACAAAATACATATCAGAATATTGCCTTAAATTAAGACTGATTCAGTGCGAAGGGTGACCCTGCTCTTTTGAGAGGTTTGACCCATATGTGTTTCTCCCTCATTAGACAAGATTCCCAACAACAGTATGAGAATCGTCATGGAGTCGGAATCAAGGAAAAGACCAGTTCGTTCTCATGATGGTTGTATGCCCCCCAAAAAACCGTGGTTCGACAAGTAAGTAGAACAGAGCTCCCGCCTCTAAACGCAGTGTGGGACAGTGGTAGACGATGCTTGTCGCTCTTACTTCTTTCTTCTTCTCTCTGCCCAGACCCACGTTCAACATACCGAACCAGCAGGGCTATCACAAAAGAGCTCAGTTCTCCCCCAACGCCAAGCTGCTTGTTCGGCAAATTCCTCCCGAGCTCAACAACATCAGCAAGCTCAATGAGCATTTCAGCAAGTTTGGCACCATCGTTAACCTGCAGGTCAGTCCCAGTCAGGCCGTTTTAGCGTGTCACGGTGTAAAACCTCCAACAGACGGATGTCTTAATGTGGTTTATAAATCACTGTAGTTCACGAACGCTGTTGTAAACGAGTATGTGCCAGTATTTCTGGATGGATTGACAAATGTCTGCAGCAATTGTTGCTTCAACAAGCCTGAAAAAATATGACTGTTATGACCAAACAGTAGAAAAATGAGAGGAGCCTTGAGATAAAAATGGAGCTGGAAGCTGAGGATTTTATTTTGTGGAACAAAAGCTACACTGGATTTTTAATCCTGATGGCTAAAATGATACAGCTGGTACAGCAGGGTTTGAAATTCGTGGGAATTTGGTACCAGCCAGCAGATGACTAAAAGTAGCCCGATTGGTACTATTCTGTCACGTGGGCTCAAGCATACTAAATCTGAATATTTCTTTGTAGCCTCGTGTGCATATTCGGAAATCAACATGCAGAAAATCGTTTGCAAGGATCCTGGAACGTCGTGGTCGCTGTGCTATAATATAATATTAGTAAAAACAATTTCAGTTCCTCTCATGTGGCGGCGCTACCACGTCATGCCTTGAATGATTTGATAAGAATTATGATAAACCGCAAGATAACGTGGCGGGACGATGAATTTCAAACAAAAATGTGTTGGGTTTTTTTTGTTGAATCACGGTTTATTTTGCATGTATTTGATATAAAAACTTCCTTTGCCAACCCGTCCTACCCAGTCCATCGGTCATTTTGAACCCTGTGGTACAGCTCAAAACAGGAAACGGCCTTGCGTTGTACACCTGAAGCACACACTCCATCTTTATGTTCTTTAAGAGTCTTTGGTTGTAAATATGACGTGAACCGTCGGGATTGGCCGCTGAATTAATAGTTTTATGCATTCGTGTCAACTTCTTGATTTTCTAATGTTCTTTCAGGTGGCGTACCAGAATGACCCCGAGGGGGCCCTCATACAGTTCGCCGCCCCCGAGGCGGCTAAGCGGGCTATGCAAAGCACAGAGGCGGTCCTCAACAACCGCTTCATCAGGGTGAACTGGTTCCGGGACGACTGCGGCGACGGGCAGGGCCAGTCCAGGCCCCAGCAGCCGCACCCAGCCATGGTACGGGTTCGCTCGTTAGCAAGACTCCGAACGGGAGACAGGCACGGCTTCAACGGCCCTAAGTTTAGTTGCAGGGAATTTTCAGTCGTTCATTCAGAAGTAAATGATACAGAGGTCAAGACAAGTTCAACAAAAAATTCAAATCTGGGGGATCAAAAGCAATAGTTTATTAATGGTTTTTCCACCTCTGTGTTGTTCAGCAGCCTTCAGCCACATGTCTCAAGCAGTCTATCAAAGACCGTCTGGGCCCCATGCTGCCTGCAAACTCTGAGCCCCCCCATGATCCAGGTGTTCCCCTTCAGGTGTGTCTGGATAGTTTTTCCTTGCCTGTGTCGCCTAGTGCTTGCTCATGGTGGGAATTGTTGGGTTTCTGTAATTAACTTCAGAGTAGGGTCTGACCTGCTCTGTTTGGAAAGCGCTGTGAGACAACTGTTGTTGTTATGTGGCGCTATATAAATTTTTTTTTAATTGAATTTAATTTTTCTCTTTTTTTCTTTGCATTTACGCATCGACGTCTTTGCGCGGTACATATGTAACGGGGCTTTCCCCCTCTGCTTTTCAGAATGTCTCCAAAGTGTCGGTGAAGGATCGTTTAGGAGTCACTCTCAAACCGGTAGCCCTTCTTGAAAAGGTAAACATCCTCCTCATTCAAAAAGATTTCTCCATCGTCTTTGAAATTCCTTCGGTTTTAAAGTGCCGCATCTTAAATCTCCTCCACAGGTGTTCCCAACTTCCACCGGGCTCACCAAGACGGTGTACAACCCTGCTGCTTTAAAGGCAGCTCAGAGGAATTCCGAGGAAGCCCTAAAGAAGAAACAGGTGAGAATTGAACTGGACACAAGGCTCAGGGTTTAGGACTAGGTTTAATGCATCCCACTGATTTCCCACAATTCCTTAATCAGGAAGCCCTGAAGTTGCAGCAGGATGTGAGGAAGAAGAAGCAGGAAATATTGGAGAAACACATTGAGACGCAAAAGGTAAAAAAAAAAAAGTTATCCCACTCAATGAATAGCCCCTTTAAACCAAAGCTAAACATGGGGTTTTCTGTTTTCTGCCCCCCCTGTCTACCTCAGCTCCTGATTTCCAAACTTGAGAAGAACAAAGGGATGAAGGCAGAAGACAAAGCCAAGATCATGGAAACCTTGGGCCTGTTCACTAAGAGGATCACCAAACTGCAAGAGGAGATCAAGGGGATCTCGAGCTGCAGCAACCCCCCTCGGACCACCAAGAGTAAAGCTCAGGTAGGGCTTTCTCAGTGCCCGTACAGACGCCAATAACTTCCCAATTACGGGATCGATAAAGTACACCGTACTGATCTGATTAGTAGTTTCATGGATTTATATGTTTGGGATTTGACCGGTCTTCAGTAGGAAACCGGTTCACAACCACTCGCATATTTACCCACAGCTCATTTTCTGTCTGTGGGGATTTATTTTTAGCTCCCGGTTAGCGTTTAACCAGCTGTGACTCCCACAGGCACAGAAGGACCTGCTGGACGCAGAGCTGGACCTGTATCAAAAGACTCAAGCCGGAGAGGACACAGCACTGTTGAAGATGAAGTACACCCAGCTCCAGATCGAGGTAAAGACTCCCGGAGTGGAGAAAAAAAACCTCTGCACCCTGCGGCCACTCGGAGGCGCTGCTGCTCTCTGATGCTGACTCCAACGGGCTCCGTTTGACCGTTCTCTTTCAGGCAGCCAAAAGGGGGATTCTGTCGACGGCACGGGGCCGAGGCGCCCACGCCCGGGGCCGCGGCGCCGCCAGGGCCCGGGGGCGGGGCTCCAGGGGCCGGGGGAGAGGCGCTCCCCTCCACGCGGTGGTGGACCATCGACCTCGAGCGCTGCAGATCTCCGGTTTCAGCGACGCGGACCGCGTGGATTTGCTGCCACACTTTGCTGTAAGTTTGAAAACGACTTTACTCAGAACGACATAAAGATAAAAAAAAAAAAACACACCTCACGATCGCCTTAGCTTTGAATTTTTTTAGGCTGTTGTAGCTCACTTTTTTCATGGAAACGTCGTTGAGTTTTACACTGGTTGTTAAAGGTTTATTTAAAGAGCCAGAAGGAAAAGCCCATGGTCAAAAAACTCAACCAATACCACTGAATGTCACTGTGGATTTAAAGTTGTTTCTTCTGGTCATGACCGAGTTTGTGTGTTTAGTGAGCAATGTGTTCTGCTTCTCACATTTCCTGAAGCAATTTGGAGAAATCGAAGATTGCCAGATGGACGAGAGCAACCTGTCTGCGGTGGTCACGTACAAGACGAGAGCAGAGGCGGAGCAGGTGGGCCGCGTCTCGTTTTGCCCGTAAATCCCACCCCCGTCCCGAGACCGGGGACGAGCTTCCGCTGCCTCCTTCTGACCAGCCCGTTTGCTGTCTCCCTGTTTAGGCGGCCTTCCACGGAGTGAAGTTAAACAACCAGACTCTGCGGCTGGCCTGGCACAAACCCGCCTCCACGCTGGGCGCAGGAGAAGCTGATGAGGACGAGCCGCAGGAGGAAGAGGTTTGTGGACGGCTCTCTCTCTCTCTGAAGCTCCTCTGGCTCCGCGGGGCATTGCCTCTCTGTGTATTTACTCTAAAAGTTCCGTCTTTCAAAGTCCCTGGGGGCAGCTTATTGAATTCATTGTTCTTGCTCTATTGCACTCTAAAACCACTAGAGGGAGCCGTTCCACGCCACAGGAAGGCGCACCATGAGGCTGGTGTGTGAACCGTGGTGCTCATTGAGCGTTTTTTTTTTTCCTGTCTGCAGGGCGATAGCATCTGGTTGAGGATTTAGCCCCTCTTGAGACATTTTAAACAGATCAAATTAAAGGTCCTTCGACCCGAATCGGCCGTCTTCGCACCCACTTTCAAATCGGCCGTGTTAAATCCCGAATTTGTTTTCCCTCCTCAGTACCCGGAGGAGTCACTGAGTGACGACGCGTTGCTGCAAGACGACGACGAGGAGGACGATGACAACGAGCCGCGGCCCTGGCGCAGATGAAGCTCAGTGAGGCTCTCTACGCTGCTGTGGACGACCAGGAACAATCCAGCAACTTTCTACCGCTCGTTTCTAAATCAACGACAAACATTTCCCTTTGGCTAGACGTTTCTTTTCTCCCCCCATAACACAAATGTAACTGGCAGAGCTATGTGCATTTTTGATTAATTTTAATATGTAAACCAGACACAACAGTGCTAAATTTTTTTAATGCTCTTAATGTTTTCTTTTTCCTCCATTCTTCTTTTTTGGATCCCAAAATGCAAATGGTTTGACTGGACTTGTGACAACTGATCCACTTGTTAAGTTCTCAGTTAAAAGAAAACCTGTGTGGTCATTTAACTGAAAGACAGACTGTAGCTTTTGTAGATTAGCATCAGGTTGACTGAACTGGTTGGAAAGCTTGTGTGAGAATATTTTGTCATGGTTTAAATAATTTGTATGAAAGCTTAGCTTCTCAGTTGTTGGCTTTACTTTGGATTGTACAAAAAAATAAAGAATTGAAATGGTCTGAAAACGTGCTGCCAAAAACAAAAAAAGAAAAAATGAAAAAAAACAAACGGAGAAAAGATGATGGCAGTGCAAAAAAAAACAAAAAAAAAAGAAATCCCAGAAAAAGCTGGGTAAAATAAGACCATTTCAAAAAACAAAAAACCTCATCCTCACCTTAAGAGCAAAGTTCCTGAAAAGATTCCACCTCTTAAATGTCCTTGATTCCTTATGTCTGGATGGGTATGGTAATGGCCGTTTCATGGTAAGATAAGGGTGTGCACATTTTTCGACCACTTGCACGTCTGAACAAAACATTCAAAACTGCAAAACTTTTATATAACAACTAATTGTTGTTTCTCTGTGTGTTTCAGAGCGTCCGTCAGCCTCCACCTGCCGGGCTTCTCTTTCCAAGATGTAGCAATTTAACGTGTTCTGTCATTTATGTGAAGATGTCAATTATTTTGAACCAAAATGATGATATGATAAACATACAAAGATTTATTTTTTTTAAATAAATTGTGAAACTGTAAGCATTTTGTGTGTAATACATTGTCTCCTGGAGGAGTCCCACAAAACCTTTTACATTTTTATTCTCATTCAGCTGATATTTTTAGAGTTGGGGCGCTGGTCGACCTGCTTTGCAAACAAGGGCTGGGAGACGTTGCAGTGTAAATAAAAAGCCAATATAACCCAATATCCTCACCAGGGATGGAAAAGTGATTGAAAGTGAGATGCCTTTTTTGTGAAAATTAGTAGCCCCTCTTAAAAAGAAATGGCTGAACCAGTAAATCAAAAGAGAAAAATGGCAACAAATTTTGTTTTTAGCTGTGATCTAAACAAGAAACAGTAGATGTAAAACTGGAAGAGTTTCCTTTTTCATGAACGACAGCCACAAATTTGTAACTGGACGAACCCGTCACTATACACACTTTAAAACTACAACAACTCTTGCTTAGTCAAGTTAGATGGATCTCTTAAGGGATGGAACCATGCCTCAGATTCTGAGTTGGATTGGACCGCTTCCTTTAAAAAAAAAATTCACTGGAAAACGGAACCCATATTTAGCACCATTCACTCAAATTTCCGGTTTCGTTTCACCTGCTAATGGAAAGCATTGCCACAAACTGGTGCCCTCCCAACTGTACTGTGGGGATCGCGTTGTTTTGGGGATGAAATATGAAAAATTGCACCTTTCTTCCACCTGTCTCTTTCCAAATTCTGAACACACTTTCGTAGTTTAATCTCACTTGCATAACATAACTTTATTTCCTTTTCACTTTTCTGGAGAGTCACACTCTGTGGCGTGTACGGCCTACGTCCTATCGGCAGAAACGGCCCCCCCTCTGCTGTGAAGCTGTCCCCTCCCTCAGGAAAACCTGCTCAGGCCAACTTTTGGTGAACTCTCCTCTCCCTTATGGTTTGCCTCTGTGCTGTACTCCTTATTGCTGGATTAAACGGTGGTCCAAGTGGCTTTTATAAAATTTGGATTTATTTTTCACTATAGGGAACAGGCTGCTCCTAATTTTAGGTATTGCATATTAAGGAGCTTCATATTTGAAACGTTTTTGTTTAATTTTTCTTTATCGGTTTGTAAAATTACATGCATAGCACAAAATGCAGTTCAGATCTTTTAGTTTAAGGTCTTTTTGTTACTCTTTCCAAGGAAATGGAACTGCTATTCTGAATTTTCCAACAGGAAAGTCACTCCAGGGGTTCTGGATCCTTCCAGTCTAACTTTCTGTGAACACAGTTCACCGTGTCATCCACTAACGGAGGTTAAAACTATATTGCAAGAAGCCATATGTGAATATGACCTGCTCACTCAAACACCGTTTAATTTACAGTAAATCAGAAATTGATGGCGGAACAGCTGGAAACTGTTCTTGTGACAGACAGGAAAATCAAAATGTCAAGTTCTTTTTAGAAATCAAGGACCCTACATTGGGGCCGATAGCACTGACAATGTTTAGGTCGGTAATATGATTTTAACCGTCCTCCCGAGAGGCTTTCAGAGGCAGAGAGGAGATTCACATTGTGAGTGGTCTCTTAGCATTAATCTTTTATGAATTTTTCCTGTTCCTGATGTAACTTGCAAATTCAAAGAGGTTTTGAAGGGATGGTGTCCAATACCTAAACCGAATGGCAATGCTTACCGGGCTGTCATTAAACACCACATTAAAAAGATAAAAGAAATTCCGCCTCAAAATATCAAGAAAAACTTTGTCCTTGAAAGTTATGGTCACAACCCAAACTGGACTTTAACTGCAAATGGCCGGTTGTAGTAACAGCCGAACAGCTCAGGCTTGATTTATGAATGAACTCCATTAACTGCTATCTTAAAGTCACCGTCTGATGAATATTTTTGGAGGACATTTTGAAAAATACAGACCCAAACCCACCTGACTGAAGAACATTTTTGGTAGTAATAATGAGACTCTAACCAAACTCTACATAGTAACTGCATCACTAAACATAACAATAACCTGTCTGTGTTTTTTTTTTAATGCATTTTTATGTTTAGTTTAGATTCTTTTAGTCATAATTACTTTACCATCAGTCACCATTTGCAATGCAGAGAGCATCAGTGAATGTGAGTTTGTGTTTGGCTTAGCGGTGTAAGGGTCTAGAGTCCTGTACCCTCAGAAAATGATTCAGCCTTGAATAAAGGGACAAATAATGCAATCAGTGTCCACCAGTTCATTGTTGTTAGACTCCCCCTGGTGCCTGTCAGACTAGCAGAGGTAATTGTGAGAAATCCGATTTGCTGTTGTAAAATACGTGCCGTACATCACCTAACCCCTCGGCTCCTGCACCACACCAGGAATGCCTTCCCTCATCTCTCCGTCTGTCAGTTTGGTGGTTTAAAATGCCCCCTCCTGCTCTCTCATTTACCCACTGTGGTGCCACCAAAACTTCCACAAGCTTGTTTTTGGGCTGAATGCGATGCTGGGGTTTTTCGCTTTGCGCTTGTTTAGTTTGAACGAGTCACACTTTAACCTGGGATCGATCAATATTACTGACACAAAGACGCCAATTTTCTGACAATTATTCTGTGGCATTTTATCAACTTTCAGCAAGAATACATAAAGATTAAAGGGTACGTCCCACGTTGTCTGCTGGTGCTTTGCTGGATCTGTGACCAGCATGTGGGAATTTAAGAGCTTTGCCACCTTTGGAGACTCGGTTGGCAGCGAATGTTTATGTGCTCTGCAAGAGCTCGGAAATTATGGGATAACAAGTTTACAGCCTCTGTGTCATCCATTATATAAATCTTTGCTTTCTGATTTGTGTCGAGGAGACAAATGGCATTCTTTTGTGTCTCAACTTGGCAGCTGAGGGGAGAGTGTATGAGTTGGAAAAAAGGGGGCCACGTTTTCAAAGTCTTCCTCATGTTTGAAGATTTGTTTTTTATCGGTTTCTTCTCCAAAGCCCCCGGGGCCACAAGAAGTCGGTCATGCAACAACCAGGAAAGTGCATAACATTACACACTTGTAATGTATTCAGATTAATTAAAAACATTGCTGCATTTTCATGCCACAAAACACGTCTTCATGTAACTTATCCCAATTACTCCTTAACCAGCCTCCACCCCCCATACAACAAAATCGGCCATTATGGTGGTGACTGAGCATTTTGGCCGATTGTCAATTTCAGATGGAGGTAATGTGGAAGGTGATCTGTTCAGTAATAAGTGGTGACCCCGTCCAACTTACTGCTCTTTATTTTCATGTGCCTTGCCCCAATCGCAACAATGCCAGCTCTCCGTGAAGCTATTAATATTTCATGCGATCATGGGCCTCCATAAGCAGATTTCAGTCCCTAGCAAGTTGAGCCAAAGCATGATTAATTTAGTATTTATACCCCGACAACCCTTTAAACAACACGGGGCCCCTGGCCACAAAGCAAGGCACAGTTTGAGACAAAACTAGCAGCCCCTAAATCATAATCACCACATAGTCATTCAGGATTATTTGAGTTTGGGGACACATTTTTTTCCCTGTAAGCCCAGTAGCAGGTGTTGAATCAGTGCACATTTGATGCTGACAGCTACAGTTGTTCAGCGGCACAGCTAAAATCTTTGTAATTACTCCGCAGCAAGACAAACACTCCTGCTTCCGCCAAAATTCCCTGTTCATCCTTCTCAGTTTGTCTGGAAATATTGCTGTGTTAGGCTTCACAAAGCCCTTTAACCTCGCCTGCTGACCACAGATAGCACGGGACCCAGTGAATGGGGAAATGCCATCAATAAATCAAGACATGGCAGCCCAATTATTGAGACAATATCTGTTTACGGCCAAAACCAAAAGTATAAATTGGTAAAAGGGGTTAAATTTAGGTGAAATGCCTTCAGTTCATAATGACAAGTGATTTAGCATTTTGAATAATAATAGGTAGGATTTTATGTTGAGGAATTAAATTCACTATCCAGGTAATACAGATCATTTGTGGTGATAATTTGAGCTAATAATTAATTTGGTATATTTAGTACCTTCAGAGCAGACCCTCATCAT